AGATATCAAGAATTATAGTTTTTACTAGTTGCAATTCAATTGTTGATATCAAGAATTATCATTTTAACTAGTGAAAATGTAAATGTTGATGTCAAGAATTAGCATTGTTACTAGTGAAAATGTAATTCCTGATATCAAAAATTGCCATTGTTACTAGTAGAAATATTATTCCTGATATCAATAATTATAATTTTAACAAGTGAAAATTGAATTGTTGATATCAAGTATTCATATCCTGGAAATGAATAAAAGTTAAAACGGCTTGCCATAGTTAACAGCTTTAATTGAAACCAAGCTCCCAAAACGACTCGTTTCAGATTTTTTCACATTATGAAGTCATAGTGCCACAAAAGACTGCTCATAATATTGGATCGATGTCTACTTCTACATCATTGCCTCTTTAGCTCCGCCCACAGATTCACGCGAATGATGTAGTAGTAAGTACGAGAGAGACTAACACAGGAAAAAATCCCTCTGAGGATTTTTACAAGACATTTTTCAGTGCCAAAACAGTCTTTCCATTGCCTTCCTTGGGATTATAACATTAGGAAGTGTGAATTATCTTTATATTAAAGGAAGTTCCAGTGTCAGTCACTTCGTTTGTTCGCTTTGTTTTAGTGTGGATTCATTTTTAAGACACAGTTCGACACAGAGACTGAAAATAAAAGACAATGCAGTGCCAACTACATTGGATTTGACAGTAATGCCGCAACACATGTGTGAGTAACAATGTTTTTACCATGTGTCACTATTATTTTGTCTGTTATGGATCATAGGCCTACTCACTGTACTAAAAATAATGAACAGTTAATATAAGAACAACAGCGCAACATAAGTTATCCTGTCAACTATAACTGCGGTAAACTTTATTTGCCACAACCAAGACTTATAAAGCATACATAAATGTTTCACAGTTGGCAAATTTTTCAACTATGTAACAAGATAAACACCTTTCAACATTAATATGTGATAAAATAGAATACCTCACAAATAGCCTACATAAGGCATACATATAAATAAAGAATAACTACCAAGCTGTCCAGACTGGAGTATCCTTTTTTTTTTGAGGTGTAGGTTAGTTGTGATTCGGGATCAGACTCCCACTCAAAAATAGGAATTTTTCAAAACAATTTCACACGTGTAGAGAACATCGAAAACTATTGTAATATGTGAAACTGTTACCCAACAATCATATCAGTGGGCGTTTACTTCCAAGTCTTGAATGTCGTAAAAGTCAAAGAGATAGCCTATTACTTCTAAATTAGGATGTTTTATATGTTAAAATCTTGCTAACATTATAATTGGACCTCAGAGAACATTATACAATAAGAAAAGCAGTTCATGAGCCCTTTAATGTTTATCCTGTGCAGTGTCTTGCCTCATAGACCACTGAAAGTGCATCAATGTAAACACAATTCTGCTTGTATTTACATTCTGAGGGATGAGACTAAATTATTTTCTGAGGTGATTGACAGCGTGCCACGGATCCAGGAGAACAAGAGATGAGCCTTGACTGACTCCGGAGGCCTTTCTCTGGGTCTGCGCCTGGAACTGGAGGTTCCTCATGCAGAGAATTCAGTTTTAGCAAGCTATGTGTAGAACGTAAAGCAGGCAGTGTGAGTGAGGTCATCTGGGGAATAAATCCTCAAATATCCCAAAGATCTTGCAGTTTTGGTCTCATTACAGGGAAATATACCCGTACAGCTCTTGGGAATGCTGATTCGAGTGACTGAACTTACCGCCTGACTATCCACATTCCGGGACATAAAAGTCACATGAAAGCCCTGAATAAGTTTAGCTATATAGTCAAATAATCTCATGGAAATTTATAATGATCATTAGGTAAATTCCAAAAGTCACAAATATATTACACATTAGGCGCTAACTGCAAACACAGCCATTTACTGTAAGAGGAAACACACACACATTACTAACCGAACCGTTGAAGTGATTATGCACGTATTCACATATTTTATTGAATAAGATTTTATTTTATTTATGCAGATTGTTCAGCATTTTGTTGCGGCGTTTAAAAACACAACTCCAAAATGAAATAAAAAAAAAAATTAAATAAATAAATATATACATAAAATAAAGACCAGTGGAAATATGGTGGCCCGTCTTTTATGTGATCTGCAATTCAGTTCAATTACACTCCCTCTTGTTTATGGTAAAATCCTGACAATAAAGACTATCAATCCCATCATATTTAGAACCAGGGTTATTGACTAAAACTAAACCTAAACTAAAACCATTTAAAAAAGTGTTACTTGAAATAAATCAAGTTATTGATTTAAACTAAATCTTATTTTAAGTTTCTAATTTTCCTTTAAGTATAAAATAAATTAAAGAATACAAACTATATAGAAATAAAGAAAGAACAATGCACAACAAAAAAATACTGCACCTTATTACAAAATTCTAAATGAAAATGAAAAACAAATTCAAAATATTAATAAAAACTATAGACCTAAGTACATCAATGATATCCTAAAACAACACTGATAGGATATCTATTTGTAATATTTGAACACTGTACAGTGAACAATAAGAATTTAAGAAACTGTCTGGTTTTAATTCATCTATGAAGAGCAGTTCTGCTTAGACATCAATTTCACATCTGGTAATAATAAAAGATATGAAAACAATAGAAAATAGGCTAGTAGTTGTCAGGGATTCACAAGACGTCAGGAATGACATCATCTTTCCACAGACACTCACCTGACAGCTACAGTTCACAGTAGGATTTTTTTTTTTTTCTGCAAAAACTGATAATGACCAAGAAGAAAAGAGCAAGTGACCAAGTGGCGGCAGCAGCAGAGAGGCAAGATTTGTGATGTTTCTCATTTGTACGTCATTTTGGATAAACGCGCATCTGCTAAATGAATACATGTAAAACATGTTGATGTATAGCTATACAGATATATGTTAGAAATAAACTATAAAGTATAAAGAACCCCGGGGAAAGGAAAGGTGCAAACCTGTACAGTGAGAAACGAAGCTGTGTTTGTTACGACCAGCAACCGACAACCAATCGCGTGCCTCATATTCACGTGCTTTGTACAGTCACAAACACTGCGTTGTATATGGACGACAATGTCAAATGGTGACGGAAAACGCCCTAGTTGGAGTTAAGACTTTAATTCTTACCTTTATAGTCAGAGAAGTTAATTCAGGAGAAACTTAATACATTCAGCAATAATATTATGAGGATGCGCAATGCTAGAGATTTTATGTAAATAGGCCACGTGCTGCTTTCGTCCAATCAATGAGACTGATAACGCAAATATGCAAATAAAAACGTTAACGCAGTATGAGTAAATAAATAATGAATTAAGAAATGATTCAGTCATTATAAATACAGAAATAAAATATCTGTTCCAAACATAGCAATATTTTCCATTATTATTAGAGCATGGGTGATTGATAAATATCTCTATAACCTACTTTATTTCACTTGCCAATACCGGCTTAACTACATGACATGGTTTGACGGATCAATTTTCCCCCTTCTGAATTCAATCAAGCAATAACAAGCTCACACTTACTTTTTCCACAGTCTTGTGTACTTCTATATGAATCGTTAACTTAAATCACATAACTCATGTAAGTGTGAAATATGACGTGACATCCAGTTGCAACCCTGCTGGTACAAATCACCAAAACCGAAAGCGCTGAATCTATTTGTTTCTATAATTGCCAGGGTTTCTACTGTTTTTATCCTGCATGCTTTTAAACCGGGAAACACTCCAACTGATATTTTCCACATTAGTTTTGGTCAAGAATCCCATTAGACCAGTGAGCTTTGAGGTAGAAACAGAAGAATGAAGCGGACTTAAATGGAAAAAATACAGAAAAAGGAAAAAGTTCCATAGCACGACTGAATGCTGAACAACATGCAGCATTCAGAGCCAAGCACATTTATCAATGCAGTCTTGAAGTCTGAACTGACTTTGATATTGCAGTATTGAGAGAAATGCTAAAATTGAAGGGACAATTCAAACAAAAATGAAAATGTCATTTACACATGGTTGCATGGAAGAATGATATAATTTAAAAAAAAAAAAAAAATGATGAGAAACTACCCTTTAATTTGAGATGTTTCATTTTTATCTGGCTTCATCTTTGGACAAAATGCCTTTGCATGAGAATGTTGGGTAACTTCAAACCCCAGAGGAAGCAGCAAGCAAACTATACTAGAAGGGTTCACATAGAGAAATGTAAGCCTTATGTAAAAAAAATATATATATATTTCAAACAATGAGGTAACACTTTTCCTGCATTTCCTGTTAATTCTGAGCTCAGTCAGGCGCCATCTAGTGTTTCTGAAGCTGCTGTTCATTTCAGTTCTTTGTATTGATATCTGATTTGCAATAAATTGAATTTCCCCTGCTAATGGACTTTGATTATTTACATATGAGCAAATATTCAACAGGTGAAAAAATAAGTTGATAATTCAAAGAAACAGAAAGGTTTAGCATTAAGATCCATGAACCATTAAGTTTGATTGAATAATTATATATTATAAATAAATTATAAAACACACATCTTGGTTTACAGATTATGCAAGTGAAAAATTTACTTGTTCATGGATCCTACATTCTATGTCTTTGAATTATTAGTTACTACACTATTAATAGTTCTGTTAGTCCTTTTTTTTTTTTTAAATGTCATCCGATTATTATTGAATAAAAAAATTATAGTATACGATCCCTGATCAATTAAATTCTTAATTACCATGCAAGTAGTTTGGGTATTAATAGGGGAAATATCAATATTGAACAACAATAATCCAACTAAATATTTGTAAAAATTGGACTACGCTAAAAGATTATTCCTAAAATCATTTGTAGAAAAAGCTGGATTTTTTTCTTTTTTTTTTGGTGAAAGCAACAATGTGAGATGTGGAACTAACATTGGTTTAGAAGCATCTAATCTACTAATCAAAGGAATAAGGACAAAAAAAACAAACAAAAAAAACAGGACAACAACGGCAAAGAGATTTTTACAATGTACAAGTTTATTTTAATTAACTCTCAGTGGTTGGTAGTCACAGCACAGCTTGCACGGATGAAGCCACACATCTATTTTACAAGATGATGGGAAATTTAAAAAGGAAAGAAAACAAAACAAAAATTAAAAACCTAAACCAAAGAGGAGACAGCTGACAGTCCAACTACAGCGACATTTTTTTTCCCGACTACAGTATTTTAAGTACAAGGCCACTGAAATGCATAAAACGTGTTTCCGATGCATGGACTTCATCTGATGCGGTGGCAAAAGTTCGCTAAACCAGACAGCAAGACTCCTGACATGGCATTGACAGTGCATGTAGACATTGTAAAAAGGACTGGGTTAGCGATATCTAGGATCTTTTTAGTGACAACACCTTGGCTAATACTACAGCTAAAAAAAAAAAAAAAAAAAAAAGTAAATGAAAAAAATAAAAGTAAAATTGAAAAAAAAAGAAATGAACAGCACTCTTCCAAAGATACTGAATAAAATGTGTGAAATGTAGTGAAGCAATTATATTATTATCTCACAATTTTACGTGAACACTTAAAACTGAGAAGAAAAAAACCTTCCCCTTGAAGGGGGCGGCTCTATTGTTATTCAATGACTTTTTCGACTATAAAAGAAGAAGGAAATAGTTAAAACACACTTTGTCCTCTGGAGTTGGTATATTTCAATAGTAACAGACAGGGAACCATAAACGCATGCCATGTGCTGGTCTCAAACAATACATACAGGTATATACAACTTCACTCAGTACCTGCTAAAACAACGTGAGGAGTACAGGATATAAACCAACGACTACACTACAAACTCAAAGAAACGAGAGAAAGAAGTCGGGGGAGAGGAAGGAAACCAGGGTGAGCCACGAAAGTGGTGAGGAAGTGAACATTTACTAGTGACAGACTCATTCTTAAAGCATTTGTATAGGAAAGAAATGCATATATTGCACATAAGTGAAAGCTTCGATTTCACAAGGTCCACCTAATCGGTAAAGCCAGGGGTCCGTCATCTCTCTCAGGCCGCGAGAGAGAGGAGGAAGTGTGCGCCAACATCGCGGAATGCTGGGAAGTCTTCTGCTGAGAGACAGTGCCTCTGAGGACGAGGCGGGACTTCTAGCGCAATGTGGAGGGGATGAGGACAGGAAGAGGAAATGGAAGGAGAGAGCTGCACATTGCATGACGCATCTATACAGGAAGAAAGATTAAAGAGCGGAGCAAAAAAAAAAAAAAAAAAAAAAACTAAAACAACAAAAAAAGAAAGATAGATCACAAAAAAAGTGTGGCACAAATAAAATCAGGTGTTCTGTGACAGCCAAGAGAAATTTGATGCAGGTTGACGTATGTACAACTAAGGCTTATTGGTTAAATAGTTTTTCGAGGCTTTCCCCGCCCGCAAAGTGTTCAATGCCATTCTCTCGTCTAACGCTTTTCCTTAGTTCTGTAAACGCAGTGGTTCTGTGTGAGTGGTGAGGTGGGCGTTCGGTGGAGCGGAGAAGCGAGGGAAAGCTGGGGACTGAGAAACAGAAGGGGAGACGGAGCCTTCTTGTCGCCGTTGTCTCGTATTAATATCTAGATGTGCAATACCGTTACTGCCGGAGGATGTGGGGAGGGTCTTTTCTATTTGGAAAGCTTGCTTATGACTCGGATCAGCGCTCCGTTCTCGTCCTTTAGTCTCTGGTTGTCTGCTTTCAAGTCTGGTAGCGTCTGGAAGAGAAAACAGGAGAGGGGAGGGTTAGATTCACAGACAAGAAACCAGTGTTTTGTAGTTGACGCTGACAGTTTTTTTTTTTTTTGTCCTTCCTTCCTTTCTTCAAACAGCAACTACTATCCAACACAACCCCCCTTTCCACCGATATGGTGATGGTGCCTGATCTGGAATCGGGGGGAAAAAAACGCTCAGGAATGGCTTCCAAACCTGCTGGTCAAGAACCAATAATAACACGATAATGTCAATTTTAGGAAAGGTGATAATTCTTCTCAGTATTTTTTTAATTTTTCTGACGATATGCAAAACATATCTTAATATGTTATATTAGCTCTAAAATGGCTATAAATGGTGAGAAAAAGTAACCAAACAGCCACTGTAGCCAAGTGCACTCAAAATGATTGATGCATAAACTATAATACAGTAATCATATATGCTAAATTATGATGAAGGATAACTTTTTATATATATATATATATATCATAATTTTATTTAAATGCACTAATAAAACATACATAGTATGCATAGCTATAAACACACGCATATATATATATATATATATATATATACACACACATACAATACACACACACACATACACTACCGTTCAAAAGTTTGGGGTCGGTACGATTTTAAATACTTTTAAAAGAATTCTCTTCTGATAACCATGGCTGCGCTTATTTGATTAAAAATACAACAAAAATCAGTTATAGTATTAAATATTATTCCAGTGTAAATCAGCTGTTTTCTGTGTGAATATATAGTAAAGTGTAATTTATTACTGTGATCAAAGCTGAATTTTCAGCATCACCAGTGTCAGTGTCTTCAGTGTCAAATGATCCTTCACAAATCAGTATAATATGAGGATTTGATGCTCAAGAAACATTTATTATTATTATTAATGTTGAAACAGTTGTTGGTCTGTCAGTTGTACAGTTTTTTCTTTGATGAATAGGAAGTTCAAAAGACTTTTGTAACATTATAAATGTCTTTACTGTCACTTTCGATCAAATTAATTATTCCTTGATAAATAAAAGTATTGATTTCTTTCCTACAAAAAATAAACACAAAATTCTCACTGACCCCAAACTTTTGAATGGTAGTATATATATATATATATATATATACACACACACATCAACAATCCCATGCAGTGACGTAAATGAATAGCTGAATCAGAGCTTTGAATTGATTCACTGAATCTTGCCAACTGTAAAGAGTTTTAATGTAAATGTAACTGCCAAATAAAAAACACTTTCTACTTGAGAAATTATTGCAATATCAAAATATATATATATTTTTTTCAAAAGCATTACATATATACACATTCTAGAGAAGTCTGCAGATTCATCGGCACCAGAACCAGCACCATTTTGGTTGAAAAGGGACCGTAGACTTGCGCACACAAACCAACAAGCACACTGCAGTTCAATGGAAAACTGTAGCCATGCACTCTCAGATAGATGGTAAAGATGAGGACAGTGCTCAGGCCAGGCGGTCCTCTCTCTCTACACACACAGAGTTCCTTTGTGTGTTCTCAACTGGACGGGATAAATAAAGGGGCTGGAACACAAGAGCGGCGTCTGTATAAACCACAACACTGAGTGCTACTTGATACCCAGCCCACTTCAGTCTTCAGGTTGCAGTGTTGAAATGGAGATCTTTAACTGAGATTTCACTCTCACTGTCCTTATTGACCATAAACCGCATAGATGGACAGGTGGACTTCTTGACCGCAGAAGGAAAGGTCAGACAAACTACTCTACTAACTGGACGCTGAAAGTCCACAAGAAAGTCACAGGTCTGTAACGATATGAGGGTGAGTATTGTGTGCCAGGGAAAGAAATTGATCTGTTTTCCAGGAACACAAAGAAACAACTTCCTTGTGATAAACTTGCCATTTACAATTACATTTTAACAGTGTAATGATACCTCCCGAGAGAGAGATTTACAGTCTGCGAGTACTGCAGTTATAGACTGGAAAAATGCATTAAAACAGTCCATAAAAGCTGAGTGCTGAAATAAGTCACAAAACAGAACTGAAAAAAAGGAACAGGACTCAAAAACCTAGACAAAAACAAAGTAAGAGTACAGGCAAAAAAAAAAGTTCCTCTTTCAATCTGTGTAACACTGCATAGATTATGCAAGAGAAGCTCCAAATGTAATTTAAGCATTCACCAAGGACAATCTGTAGATTAAAATGCATGAGTTTCCAGAAGCCATGCAATCTAGATTAGCCTCAGGCAGAGCATATATGGCAGTTCAGCTCCAGGATCAAAATATCTGGGATTGAAGGAAAAGGAATGGTCTCCAAAGTATAAAAAAAAAGAAAAGAAAAAAGCAGAGAAACAGTTTCACAAAAACCAGTCAAGCACCTCATGCAAGATGCCAGAGTCATCCAAAAGGAAACTGCACTTCACAGCAACACATTCGAGGGTAGTGGCAAAAAAAAAGAAAAAAGAAAGAAAAAACAACAAAAAAAATAAGACAATTTATTACTAAAAACTGTTTATAAATAGCCGGAACTGTGTGATGGATATGAGCTGTGTTTAAAGAAATTATTTAGTTTAATATCAACATACAATATATGGCATGTCATTCATGAAGAGATGTTATTTTAAATGAAAATACTAATTTTTCAGATTAAAGCAAAATGTCATTTTGTAAAATGTAGACTGTAAAAATAATTTTTATTTCATATTTTTATAACAAATTAAAACATGCCATTTGTAAATTTAAAAAAAATTGGCAGAATTAGTTTATGTAATTTTGTAATGAATGACCAATTTTAATATATAAAAAAATTAATGCAAAATATTTCCTCTTTTTTCCCCCTCATTTCTAAAGCACATACCAAAACAGTACTTTATTAAAGGGATACTCCACCGTTTTTTCATATTAAACTATGCTATTCTCTTATCTAAGACGAGTTGATACATACCTCTCTCGTCTCAGTGCGTGCACTGAATCGCTCTGTCGGGCGGAGAACTTTGAGAGCAGTTAGCTTAGCCCCATTCATTGTATATATGGCGGAATAGCACTTATTGGGAGCACTTCGACTCGGCGCTGTAATATCTTCACTCGTGAAAAGTCCTCTCCCCCCTCTCCCTCTCCCTGATACTTCGTCAACTCTGCACAAAAAACTACTACTACTGCAGGCGTGCAGGTCACCTTGGTTCTATTGACGGAGAGGGAGAGGGACAGGGGGAGAGGACTTTTCACGAGTGAAGACATTACAGCGCCGAGTCGAAGTGCTCCCAATAAGTGCTATTCCGCCATACATTATAGTTATCCATTTTACCCGCTTATAGAAAGCGCCACATTTTATTTAGTGTCACCATACTTGGTCGTGTAACTACTCGTGTAACTATATTTAAATAGAGAAAACGTGGATGTGTTTGGTCGCTTCTAACTTTATCTCTGTTTGGCCCATATACAATGAATGGGGCTAAGCTAACTGCTCTCAAAGTTCTCCGCCCGACAGAGCGATTCAGTGCACGCACTGAGACGAGAGAGGTATGTATCAACTCGTCTTAGATAAGAGTATAACATAGTTTAATATGAAAAAACGGTGGAGTATCCCTTTAAGCAATAACTGTGCTAAAACTAAAAAAACTAAAAAAAAGAATAAAACAAAATAAGAATAAAAAAAGCCCCAAAAACATCCCCTTTAAGAAAAGCAGAGAGCACTGAGGGAGGCGGAGCATCAGCTCAGACACAGGCTGGCACCTGCCTTTATATGGGCGTGGGCGGAGCTGAATGGAGCATGAGGAGGGGTGTAAGAGGAGGTGGGGGCGGGTCTACAGGTCTGCGGCGGGCAGGTGGCTGCAGCCCTGCGAGAGTTTGGAGAGCACGCGGGACAGCGCCCTGTTCTCTGCCTGCAAACGCTCGTTATACTGGCGCAGAGACTGCACCTGCTTTACCTGAGGAAGGTTCTACGAGAGGGAGAAATACAGACAGAGAAAGAGATAGAGGAGATGACAGACATCAGACAAAAATAAACGCGGAAAAAAAACGCAAACTAAGGTAAACAGTACAAAAAGTGACCAAATATGGGATAACAGAACTAATAAAAAACAAAGACACGTGTGAAGGCACACACATACATAGCCATCTAAATGGGGACATTTGATCTATAAATAATCTATTTTTTAAATACAGATTATTATAAAACACTATAGGTTATTGCTTCTCAACCAGGATGTAGGGACGGACGAGGGACCTTAAGCTTAAAATTATATAAAAAGACCAAATCCAAAGTTAAAACAGGTCAAATTCAACACGTTAGCTGACATAATATTTCTTATTTTAATTTGTTTCCTTAAAAAAAAAAAAAAAGTTAATATACCAACAAAACAAAAAAAATTATGAACTGGGGTTTTCATGGTCTTCTGCACAAAAAAAAAAAAAAGGTTAATATACAGTATAGATCAATTTTAGTAACGAGGACCTTCCCAGATGTGCCCAAATTAGGTTTTGTCCGATTTAGCACAATTCTGAGGAAAATGTCCCCTTAATACAGTTGGATACACACATACTTAAGAAGTGGGGTTTCAATGGGGAATGCTAAAATACTGAAATCTACAGAAATTCATCATGTCACAGAAAGATTAAAACCAAGGCCTGGAAAACTTCTCGCTCACATAATTTAAGATTTTAAATTCTGCTACCCCTCCACACACACACACACACACACACACACACACACAGAATAGAGACATTAGAATAGAGAGAACATGTGGAACATTTACAGTACGGCTGAAACAGCTAAACTGAGCTGCAACTTGAAATGAAGCAGATAAAATGAACAGAGTGAAACAACAATCTCAATTCTCACGCAATCACATAAACAGGCTGTAAAACCCCCATAAAAAAAAGGAAGAAATCAAAGTTTTGTAGCTTTTAGTCCATGTCTGTTAGTTTTGAGGTCATCTATCCACCTTTTTCCTGAGCAAACGATGAGCTAACTTCTGTTTGTATGCGGTCCTGTTCCGTTCTCCATAAGAACCCATTGTCAAACGGAGTTAAAAAAAACAACTGAATTAATTAAACAAAATTTTTGAACATTACTAATAATTAAAGTGAGGGTTAAGCTGTGCTGTTACCACAACAACAGCAATAAACAGAAGAAATTCCTGGAAAGTATGCGTTTTGAGCACCAGCAAATCTGAAAAGAATGTCCGTATATGGCGACATATGCCTTGCATTTTATGCCAAAGACTGACAAGAGAAAGCGAGCATGGCTTGCAGCACTTAAGTTAAAATACTCCCCATTAAAGGTATATGTGCACTCTCAATAATTTAAGGACAAACCCCCCCCAAACTTCACCCAACCGGGAGCTGTATGTAGGATATGAGCGCCCATCTGTTTTCATTGTAGCCAACTTCAGGCAGCTTCATGTCATCTACACACATAAACTTTGACGGATGAGGCACTGAGAAAAGATGTCATTGCGACACTGTAAAGTGATGGTAGTATGGAGCCTTGTGCTTTTTTAAAACCATTTTCATAGGTTTAACATTACATTATCAGCTCGGAAAACATGGTAATTTGACTAGAAACACTGGAGACCAGAAATGTAAAGGATAATTCCGCTATGAGTCGAGCGAGGAACAAGGTGGATATGCTAGTGTACGCATACAATTTTTCCCCAAAATAGAGTCTTAAGTTCCCTTATCAAGAACGACAGCATGTCGTAATTACCATAATTTCGAGATGACGACACATGACTCTACTCGGAGCTGTTCATGTCCTTGGACTGGGAATTATGCATTTCTATGACAACACTATCAATGGATAAATGAATATGCAGCGGTCAGGTGGTACAAGTAGGAGCTCTCAGAAGATTCCCAACTTACAAGCTTACGAGGACGTGAACGCTTTTTACAAGTTGGAATCTCGTAATTATGGTAAATACGACCTTGCGTGGACTAACTTTAAATTTTGGTTTCTGTTTTTCTTGATTTTTACAAAGGTGATGCACAAAAACACACTTCGAAAAACAGGCAAAAAGTACTACCTTCAGTTCCTCCTCCATATCAGAAATCTTCCTTTCTAGAGCTCTTCTTTCCTGCAGACACACACACACGTTGACATGTTACCGCACATGGCCATAAAACACAATAACATCTCCATGATCCACTATCACTGCAAACAAAGAGAGATACACACACAGAATCATGTGGAGGCATCAGGTGATTGAATGTCAAAACAGAGGGAAGTGAACAAAGTGAAGGGAACCACACACTGCTTAGTGAAGCTGATCGAGAGCTGGAAATATAGTATGACTATTCATGCTTACACAAATTACTTGCATGTATAGTGTAATAAAAAGAAATAATTGTAATAAAAAATATACCGGTATGTAATAATTATGGATTAATTATATTAGTAAAAAAAAAAAACGTTCTGTATGGTATATGTATATGTACAAGGCATGTGTACTACAATTCAGGAAAAGAGAAAATGACTGAACATTTCGAGGAATAACTCACTGTGATCAGATGTAACAATGAATTAAACTGCACTTAAGATGCAAATACAAATTTTAAGATGATTTTTTTCACACACGAAGTCTCGCACACACATGCAGATACAATGTTTGAAAGAGAAACCACACCATACTCTACATCTCACACGAGACGCATATTCACTTGTACAAGTCTAGAAAGGTGTGTTGCATTTGTGACTCAAAGGCAAAAAGTGAAAGAGGGATTGTGATTGGCTGATGGGGTTTGGTTCCAAGCCCCTGGGGCTGTGAGAGGCATGTGATTCAGCCACTAGCAGAGCTGTAAACACATTCAATTCAGGTTAAACGTTACCCAAAGCACCCAGCTGAGCCTGAGACCTGCCTGCAACCTTCAGACATAAACCAGTGCGGAACAGTTACCAACCGTTTGGCCGATGGAGGACAGAATTCAGCATTTATCTGGAGCAGTTCTTACACATCTCAGCATTTGAGCTGAAGGATCCTTTATGGATTTAATACCCCATCATTGCATTAGTGTGAAGTACACCTGCTCATCCACTGCCATTAACTTGGGTGGAGAATGATGATTCGATACATTAAAACTTAAAGTTCAAGTAACAGTTGTTTTACCCTTTTCTCCATCTCCAGCTGTGACCGATCAGCAAAGCGCTCCTGCCTCTGTAATTAAAAGAAATGTAGCAGGTGAGCAGCGTTGAGGCCCAATCAAGGTTTGCATGACATTTTTTGACTTCCAGAAATCGCATTAATTATTATTAATATTAAAAACAAATGTAGTATATGAAAATAGAAATATAATTTTTATTTATTTTAGAATTAGAATTCATTTCTATTCTTTCCCAGCCTGGAAATCATAACAGAAAATTTCCTGACATTTCCAGGTTTTTCATAATGAAACGGTGTGACAGTATTAAAATGATGGTATACATTTTTACATTCAATTTTACCATTAAACAATGACACTAACAATTTGAAAATAAATAGAGCTTGAGTGATCGAATGGAATTCAAGCGTAGTTCAGGCAGACCACTGATCGCTAAACAAAACCGGCTGACGCTCAGCTGATTTGTTACTCCACCTACTCTAATCAACTATAGTATTTAAGCTCATTCAACGAATGCTCCGCAGTCTGTCGCACAGACATTTACACCCAGCTCCACCTCCTAGCATCTTCATGATAGAGCAGTGGATTCTGTATAGAAACTCTATGCACGTAATCATTGTATCTCCTTCTGTACACATATGCTAAGAAACATTTGGTTATTAAAAGGCTTGGGGTATTTGTGTCTCAAGGATGTATCTCAAGCTGTCTAGTATGGCAGCTCGAGCCCCTTAGAGCCTAAGCCTCTCGCCAAATCCAAAGATTTTTAATAAATGTCATTCTCAAAGTGGTCCTGACTGAACTAAACTAAATGGATGGAGGTTTTCATAGGTTATCCCAAAAAACAAATAAAAAATCCATAAAGGCACTGAATTAAGAATTGTACAGTAGTGGCAAAAAGTGATGTTCGTCCTAGGAATATTAACATCTTCACCAATTATTTAAATATTAAAAATGCTGGCATTTGGCAAGAAGTTATAATCACATGCAAAAACAACAGAACCAGCCAAATATTAATAACTGATTATGTTGGAGGTTGGAGTCAATGTTTTTTCCCTGTGAGCTTTTTTTATTTTTTTTATTATGTCAGATAAATACATTGACCAAGTTTAGTGTTTTGTTCTCCCCTCATTTTATTTTTTTTAAATAATAATAATAATTTCCTGATGGTATAATCAAACTAAAATCAAATTAAAAACAAGTATCCCCCCCCCGGAAATCACTATAGGCCACTACTGTATATATTTATCTGTTTGTTTAATTTTAGATTACAATCATTTCTATTCTCGTCCCGGCCTGGAAATCATCATTTTAAATTCACTGATATTTCCAGAATTTCCATGACTGTGGCAACCCTGTCTGATCCAACTAAATAGTACTGAAATTACAGTATTACTTTTTTTTACGTAGTATTATTCAGTGTTAAAGAATGACACTAACAATTCAAGAACAAAAAAAGGAGCTCAAATAAAAAATAAAATAAAAATATGACCAAGTCAGTGAATTAACTGAAAACAAATGATCACTTGTGTTTTTTTTTGTTGCGCGATTTGTGAGACGGTGTGAACAGACCTCAGTGCAGATGATACACAGGCAAACAGAGCCCAAAAGAACTCTCTCAGAAAAGGAACTCACCTGTGTGGCTTTCTCCAGCTGCAGCTTCAGGTCTGACAGCTCCAGTTCTGTATCACGTAACTGAGCTTTCAGCTTCTCGTTTTCAGCTAAAATCTGCTCATAAAGCTGCAAGCGGAAAGAGCATGTTGAGTAAACACTGGAACGTAAGGAAACCATTATTTAACCGGTCGTAATCATACAGCGCCATGTTTGTACCTTCTTATAATCAGTGGTGTCGTCTCTTTCGATGCGCGAGTACGGCCGCCGACTCTCCCCAAAGCCGCGGCTACTATAAGACTCGTAACGGTCAGTGGAGGAAGTGCTAGTAGAGAGAGGGTCATTCCTGAGGGGGGAAATGGATGCGTACTTCAAATATTCACCGCTGTTTTCATAATAAGCATGAATGCAAGTATATTTAGCTCATTTTAAAAGGACATAGTTAAGCACGTAATGACAGAGTGTTTTTTGGGATACGTACCTGGATAGTCTGTCGCTCTGTGGATGTGAACAGATAGAGAGAGAGGGAGAAAGAGAGAGGGAAGTTATTACTAAGTCTGTACCTGCAGTTAATCAATCACATGCTCATAATGCATTTAGTGTGTCTGTTTGTCTAGCCTATCAGAGCGCCTAGAATGCAGATTATCAATTAGTCTGGGATGGATTGTGACGCTCTCATTCCCAGCTCTGATGGCCTGCTTAATGCTGCCATTTAATGAGAGTCTGTGCGGGTCAGCAATCTATCATTTACCGCTCTACAGTAAAGGACGCGTTTGAAGACATTGGGCGTAATCCATTTGATTTTGTCCTAATAAGAGTCATGCTTCAAAAGGTTCAACTTCAACACGAGTGCCACATTTATCAAAGTGGAAGTAAAAGGACTTCGGTCACCGTCCCTCCTCCGCTCATTTTATTTCTTCCTCTCTCTCTGAGCTCCGAGACCTCTCAGCCCTGCTGGGGCTTTTTCTCCATGAATTCTTGATCCGCAGCCAAGACCTCTGGGTCTGATCTTATTCCCCGGCGGCTCAGAGCACACACGGGGTATTGGAATGAGTTTGGATTGGCATACTAACAATTATTTTTATGCATATTGTGCACGATGCAAATTTTCTGTATGCATAGAACTATTACCATTCAGTAACAAGATGAGAGATATAGTATGCCATAATGTAATGAGACTTGAGCCCGGGACACAACGAGCCGACGGCAAAAGCTTACTCGGCCAAATAACTGTGCTTGAACACACCAAAAGGACTAAAGGTGACGGTCAACTAGCATGTGCATTCTGTCTCTTTCTTCATTCCAGTCGGCTTATGTTATTATGAAAATATTCGTGCATTTGAACGCTCAGGTAAGATGATGTAAAATTAGAACAGCCTTCTGTCGGAACCATCTTGACGACTTTGCTCGCTTTTACTTTTATTCTTGTGCACCGACTCGTTCGCTAAGCTGAACAGCCAGAGTTCTCTCTCTCACTGTCGGCCCGACGCCGATTCAACGTGATGAATCTGCCCAAAAAACCCAGAGGTTGTCCGACTAGAGCCAACGGTGCGGAAACACCCCAAACGAAGCCGATTAGCTTGATGTCTCCCAGCATTTTAATGTGTCTGTGCAAATGAACCGGTAGTATAATTAAGTCCGATCTTTAACCACGATTTTCTCCTTTATAGAGTTCTCGAATTTTCTGAAAGAAGAATTTCAATTATGTTTCCAGTCGTATGTAATTACAGGATAAAATTTTTTTAAATCACTTTATCAAGATTGAACTCACAGACATTCCAATCCAAACATATCCGTTTCTCTCATTTGTGCTTATTGTTGGCTGAAGGCTGGAAACTTTGGACTGATATAAGGGCTGTGAGAAACTCTCAGGCAATGACCCGTGCAACTGCGCAGCCACTTCCTGTAGCTGATTGCCCTGGAAGCATTCTGCAGCACTGAGCTTTGTATCAAGGCTTCCTTTTCAAAGCAGAAGAGCTCACTAAGAGGAATGTGTGCTATTAAGCTAACAAAAAAACAGCTGTCTCATAAAGAACCCATAGACCTCATTAGATTTTCTTTCATACTGCCGCCCTCTGAACACTTATCATTTGGAACCATTCAAGCAAGAACTGATCTTTAGCTGTATTAGGCCATATCTGAGCTATATTTAAACATGGATGAGATGCTGTAACAAGTGCACTTGGAAAAGTGCTTTAATGTGTCAGCTGGGTTTTCTTCCTCTCCATACATGCAAAAAGCAGTTTCCTATTCTTCATCCACTGACCCAACAGTCAACAACAAAGCTTTGTCTAACTCTTTGTATTTCTATCTTCCTGACTCTAATAAATTGTCACTTTTGAATGACTCATTCCCAGTTTTCCGCCCAACTGCGTGTGATCTGGTTCCAGGATCATGTTGGCACAGGATACGCAGGATATTTATCTTATCCCCGCTAGACTCACAATATCACTCCAGTCACACAACTAACAGCTCAAGTACACACTAAACACGGCTCATGTGACTAGCCACGTATTTTCTCTTATCGCTGTAAGTGTGAGTTTCTGCAGCTAGGAATTGCTAGCTGACTATTCCTGTAATAAGTGACAGTCTGCGGGCTGTGAATCGACTTTCATCTATAAGAGAACTAATGCTGCTGGGACAATTCCAGGAAGTTGGAGAGGGAGGAGGGGGTCCGCAGACACACAGTAATGTCAGTGAATTGTTTGTCATGCCAAACATGAAGGAAAGTCAAACTGTTCTTTGACTATACAAGGTGAAAGTAGGAGCTGGACAGAGGAAGAACCTCAAAGTCCAACACAATAAGTAGCCGAACTGAGGAACTGAGCATTTGTCTAACTGGTACATTTGTGTTGGCAGATGCATTGTGGGTGAGTTAATGTTCACCTGAGGCTCTCCTTTAGTGCTGCCATCTGAGTCTGATGGGTGCTCTGGATCATTCTCGTCGCTCTGTAACATACAAACACATTTCAAATTCCATTAACACTTTACAATTATGTTCCATTAGTTAACTAACAAAGAAAAATACTTCTAGAGGATTTATAAATCTTAGTTGAAGTTAATTTCAGCATTCACTAATGCATTATTAAAATCAAATGTTTTATCTGTTAATATTATTTAATGGACTTGAGTTAACATGAACTACCATTAAACAGCTGTTTTTTTTAATAACTAACATAAAGATGAATAAATACTCTAACAAATATATTGCTCATTACTAGGTAATGCATGCTAATTAATGGAACCTTATTGTAAAGTTTTATTGTAAACTATATTATAAAAGTAAACAGGGTCCAAAATTTACAGTTGCCATTCACCAAATGCACACACATGCTTTGGCATGAATATAAAATTTAGTTAATGATCAGCTGGCAGGTAAGTTATCTTTCTGGCCAGCTGCAATTGACTAATCAGAATTAAGTCATCCAGAGAGTCGTGTAATAATGTGATATATTTATATATTTAGAACCATAACAGTTTTGTGGCTGCCTGGTGGCTAGTTTTGGATGCTGATCGTAAAGCTCACATTATGTCTTTTGTATCCGAATCCATATAGAGTGAGTTTTGAATGCGCTTTATGTGCAAGAGTTTCTTACATCCTGGGTCCAGAAGGACACTCCAGTCGAGCGTCTTTTCTCTCGAGGTCGTCTGCGGTCGCGTATAGAGCGTGGCTGAGACTTGTCTTCACTGTCCTTATCGTCCTCTCTTTCTTTTCTATCATACTCTGGTCAGAAAACAGACACATGGTTGTTTATGAGTACAAATTAGCAACTATGAATATGCATAAACCACTGGTGGAAACCCCCATTTTGTTTATGGGAATGATATTGCTCCAGGACTTAATCCTGGCTGAGCTAATGGAACAAAAATCAATCTCAAAAAATGAAACTATAAACTGGTATTATTATTATTATTATGAAGGTTAGCGGGTTTAATTGTAGCTATTATAAGCTGGAGCATGCCAAATCAAATACACTACAGTTCAAAAGTTTGGGGTCAGTACGATTTAAAAAATAAATAAATAAAAGAAAAATTTCATGACCAAATCAGCATATTAGAATGACTCAGGGTATCTGCAGAGTTTTTAAAATAAAATTAATGTCCCTAGAGAACAAAACCATAAAATCTCAAAATAAATCATGCATCTCAGATTCTTTTACTTGATTAATAGGCTGGGGCAGACATTCCACAAGGATGTAATACTGCTTATCAGCAAAAAGACTAGGGAGCTTTAATAGTCACACTTAAAAACATCAACACATTACAATATAAAAACCATAAAATAAACATTGTCAATTCATCAACATTAGATCAAAGCGATGATTGCCATGAATGTGCAAGTAGGGATGTCAATTTTCACAAATTCCCATGATCGATCGTCGTTTAAATTAACGATCAATTAATCGATAGCCTTAATACTGCAATATGTGTCTGCTGCAGTGCATATGGCCAACAGCAGGACAGGGTGTGCGAATGCTGCTCAAAACGCTATGTCCCTCACCAAATGATTGAGAAGAGTTTTAATCTAAATAAAGGGCTGGCAGGATGTTTCGATGTGAGTGATCATTTAATTAAATTACTTAGAAAATATAACGACTTAAACAACGTGTCACCAACGCCGTCTCAGATGCGTGCTAGTCAGAATGTGTACGCTCTTCCTGGAACAACACACTAAAAATGCGATAGTTTAAATATTATTAAACTATTATAAAATAGTGTTCTCATATTATGTGACAGTCCCAATCATAGTTATTATTAGCGGTGCATTGCTGCTTGAGGTGCGCGCTGAATGAACACTTTGCTGGCGCATTATTTGACTCAAAGAAATGCATCCAATATGAGATTAATCAGAAACAAAAAAATAATATTACAAATTATATCAGCACAAAATGACGCGAATGCACAAGTGAACTTAAGTCATTCTCTATGGCTTGTAACTTAGTTCATGTTGTGGACGCGCTCTTCCTGGAGCAAGGAGATGAAACACGGCAACTAAACCCAAATAATTCACAGTGTTTTATTACAATATTGTTCTCTTTATAATGTTATGTAATATGATATGACAGTCCCAATCATAGTCATTATTAGTCGTGCATTGCCGTTTTAGCTGCGTGCGCTGAAGATGATCACCGTACACTTTACTACAGCGCGCGTTAATTCTTAACCAAATGCATCCTATATAAGAGTAAATCAGATATAGATAGGGCTACACAAAATAAACACAATATTAAACCTTACATTTGCACAAAACAAAAGGCTGCGAAATTGCGAATGCACATGCAAACTTATAGTCAAGATGGTGTAAAATGGTCCCAAACATAACTCCGGCGCGCTCGCTTTACATGTTTCACGGTTGAGCAGCATGCACACGCATGAACCTGCTTAATCGACGATCGATAAGTTTTAGCGATTAAATGTATTATCGACAATTAATCGATCGTCTATTAATCGTTAACATCCCTAACGTGCACTATTCATTTGTCGCAAACTGTTCTGAAACCATGAGCCTGTAGAACGCACAACAGCACCGTGCAGCGGTCACATTTATTTCATTTCGTCATAGCTTTTTGAAGTATAATAAACACATTAGGCCGTATTGTGATTCCTGATTTACCGTCCCCAAATTTAAGACCTCTTAAATGGATAATTAAAGGAGTAGTTCACTTTTGAAAAAACTTTTGCTGATAATTTACTCACCCCCATGTCATCCAAGATGCCTATGTCATTCTTTCCTCAGTCGAAAAGAAATTACGGTTTTTGATGAAAACATTCCAGGATTTTTCTCCATATAATGGACTTAAATGGGAACCATACGGTCCAAGGTCCAAAATACAGTTGATAACAGTTTCAGATGCAGCTTAAAATGTCTTTAAACGACACCAGACGATGAATAAGGGTCTTATCATGCGAAACGATCGCTCATTTAAAAAATAACAACGTTTAAGTTTTATAAGCTCACATGCCCGCCTTGCTCTGTTCTGTGTGACTCTCCTGTTCGAACTCGTTCATCAAAATGAACAAATCTTTTTTCGAGTCATTTGATTCATTTAACGACCGAAATGAACGAATTGACTCGGAAAAAGCTTTGTTCATTTTGATGAACGAGTTCGAACAGGAGAGTTACACAGAACAGAGAAAGGCGAGCATGTGAGCTTATAAAACTTAAACGTTGTTTTTTTTTTTTTTTATGAGCGATAGTTTCGCTTGATTAAGACCCTTATTCATCGTCTGGTGTCATTTAAAACCATTTGAACAGTTTGCAGTTTGCACTGAAACTGTCATTTGGACCTTGAACCGTTTGGCTACCATTGAAGTCCATTATATGGAGAAAAATCCTGGAATGTTTTCATCAAAAACCTTCATTTCTTTTCGACTGAAGAAAGAAAGACATGGACATCTTGGATGACATGGGGGTGAGTAAATTATCAGCAAAAGTTTTTTTTAAAGTGAACTAATCCTTTAAGACTTTTGTTATTATCATTTAAGATATTTGAGATGTTTCATGACCTTAAATTTGATCAAACGGAATTAAAGACTTTTAAGGACCTGCAGGGACCCTGATGATTTCTGAAAGATCATGTGACACTGAAGACTGGAGTAATGGCTGCTGAACATTGAGCTTTTACATCACAGGAACAAATAACTTTTTAAAATATATTAAAATAGAAAACGGTCATTTTGCATGTAAATAATATTTCACAATGTTACTGTTTTTATGTATTTTTGATCAAATAAATGCAGCTTGGGTGAAAGACTACTTTCAAAAACATAAAAAAATCCTACCGAACGCAAGATTTTCAACGGCCTGAAGCTTGGCTTAGTCAGTCTGCAGCCATACTAAAGGAAGTCCCTGTCTGTATGCCAGTTCCTGTAGCGTCACAAAACCATATCACTCATTTTCCTTCCTGTGCCATGTCACTACTTAAAGTGACACACAGCTGTTGTTTTTTCCATGACAAATAAGGGCATTTGCAGTGCTTGGAACAGTACATATAATAATTAACTTGTTTTTTTTGTTTTTTCTGCATCGTCTTAAAAATGTCATGTCGTAATAAATATTTCATTTTCCAACAAAATGCTAGTTCATTATTGTTATGAATAAAAAGCTTTTTTTGGGGGGGATGAAACGAGACCCGGACATGTGTACCTCTCTCAGTGTCACGTGTGGAGCGGTAGGTTGAAGTGAGGCCGCTCAGGCTGTTTGGCCGGTTCAGAGAGGAGGTGCTGTAGAGAGAAGACGAGCTGCCAGAGGAAGAAGGCAGAGTGGAAGAGGCCGTGGTGGTCGAGGCCAAGGTGCTCCGGTACTTCTGGAGGACAACAAAGAGGACACTCGTGTGACATAAAACACACAAAAAATGCTAGTTAAAATTCCACAAACTGTCCTGTTCCCTGTGAGTTTTCCTCACCTCCTCAAAGCTACGGTAGCGTGACCTATAGTCATCCTCCTTGGTCTCGGTCTCTTTCTTCTCTTCCTGTTTCTCCTTGTCTTGTTTTTCCTTCTCTTCTTTCTCATCTTCTCGAGGCCTTATGGGGCGACTGCGACCGATGGTCTTCTCCGCCTCCTGGAGATCAGTCAAGGTCACACCCTGAAAAAGAAAGTCAAAATGTTAAAATTATGTCATTCATTTCTGAGTCTGCTAAATGACCTCAATAATGATGTAATTTTGCTGTAACTGAAGATATATACAAACATATTACGTTAATAAGAACCAGGGCAGGGCACTACGATACTGTTACTTGGATAAAATATAAATAATATAATAATATTATTAATAAAGGTTGTATATAATAATATTTATTTAATATTAATAATAAGAAATATTATTTGATTAATATTAATAACAAGATCATATGAGCTGACACTGTCACAGAAGTGCATTTCCAATTTAAAACAGCTTAACTTTGTTTATCCAATCACATTTACGACATATATTTCTCCTTTAGTTTTAGCTCAAGTGTTATATAATATGAAACTGACTCATCATTTGTTATTAATATTATTATATGTAGGTAAAATACCAATAAAAAAATAATATAAATCAAGATGAAGGAACTTTTACTTGTAAAGTATTTCATTCCTATAGGCATTATAGGAATTAAATACATAGGCAAATATAGGCAAAATAGGCATTACCACATGGTAACGATTTTGTTTAGCCACAAGTTTTTAGAGCCCTTAAGGCCTCATTATGCTTCTGCGTCAACTCCACGGCGTAGCTACGCCGTCACTCCTACGGCGTCGTGGCCGTTTTATGGTTCTGCGTCAGGTTGCGTTGCATCGCGGTGTATTTCACCGCCAGAACGCTAGGGGGTGTGTGCTTCGCGAATCCTTTTGCTAGTTTGTTTTGGTTCCGTGCGCCGGTTCCGCTTTCGTTTCCATTACCATTCAAATTGCGCAAATTGAAATTGCGAATTGAAAATACGCACAATGGAACCACGTCCATTTCGCATAAACTCCCGTTTATCGCAAAAAAAGATTTTATGCTCGCATGAGGAGGTTTTTCAGGCAATTCGAAAAAGGAATATTTAGCAAAACTGCAATGGAAGGTTTTGCGCATTTACAGTCACCTGACTTAGAAGACGCGGTGTGTTTGGGGTCCGTGTCCACAAATAATAATAATAATTATCATCATTATTATAACATTTATTAGGCTACATAGCCTATGTAGAAGACGCTTTTATCCAAAAAAAATGAACAAAGCAATTCGTCACAATCTCATTCAAAATAAAGGTTGGAGTTGGACAATAATATAATACGGGGCTAAGATTATCAGAAATAAACACAAGATTTTGACGCATATTCAAGTGTTTAAGCGGAGCGCGCACTGGATGGCAGGGATAGGCGCGCTGGCGCGAACACTTGCATTTCCCTATCAACAGTGGAAACAACTTAAAATACTCTATCATTTCTGGTCATACAGAAAATAATAATAGCCTACATTATTCGCAACTAATTGTATTTGCGTAAACTCACAATAACAAGAAAACGTTGTGGTTTTGTAAAATAAAACAAAACAATCAGGCGTGCTTTCATGGTCTCCGTGAACTGAAGCGCGAGAACTGAAACAAAATATAGCCTATGTAGGCTAAAGCTTGAAATGTCCACTTTAAAACGAACAAATTCGAATCGAAAGCTAATACCTTCTGATTATGTAATCCGTATGAAAGGTGCATTTCTCTCTAAAGGTGCATCCGGAGATGGAGATGTTTTTAGCCGACATTGATTTAGAAAACAATAGTTTATTAATAAACAATTAAAATGCCTCGTTATTTTTTCAGACACATTTATTATAACCTATAAATCACCTTTCTGTAGGTTGTGGTTATGGTCTTTCATTCAGCACTGCGGGAAAAATATAATTTCCAGGTTCTAATTTGGCCTTAGAAAACCAGTAAAATCTACATGTTTTCCATATTAATTTGTGAATATTTTAAATGTTTAATAAAGGAGCAAAAAATCATAAACAAATAGGCTATCTTAAATTTCGTCTATAATTTTTTTTTTTTTTTTTTTGCGCAGCATTTGGTGTACAGTTCAAATTAAAAAGTTTGTGTTTAACTTTGCGTTTTAAAAAAATACAACAACCGTTCATTTTTCGTTTTGCAATTACGGTTTAAAAAAGGGAAAACGAATGGACCCAAAAGTAGGCTACACTGACCGTTTGGAATTAATACAAGACAGAGTTCTTTATTAAATTCATAAAAGAAACAATTACAGGAATAGCATACTGGACTCTAAACCTCAAAGAAAGGCCACAATCAAGACCTCGGAGCAGAAACGAGGGAGAACTCCGTGTCTTTCCCTGCCATCAATGCTTGGATAACACACCACGTCTCCTTCCATTAATAATAATGTCTGCGGTGGCTATAGTGACACAAGGTATAGCATCTTGCTTTTGGAAACATTGGACCCGAAGCCTGTATATGTTCTATAAATGATGCCTCATCCGCATCATTCTTAATTGTTTTGTATTGTTTTTACATTTATATCTGTACTGTGTTGTCTCTGGACCTCTGTGTCTTGAATAAAAGTTGATATAGGCTATAACGTTAAACCTACCAACGTCCGTTACCATGATTTTTGGAATGGCTTATGGCGAGAGGAAAAAAATACGTTTAAGTCGCATAACATCGGTTATGGAAACGCCGTCATTTCGCAATAGTTTTTTATCGACATAAAGAAAAAAAAAAAATCGCAAAAGTTTTGCGCAAATCTGTAATGGAAACGAGCCTAATGGCGAGCGAAAGAGAGAGAATGTTGTTGCAGCTGGAGCTAATCGACGTTGAACAACAAATGATTTTATTGCAAATGTTAAATCGCAGAAGAATCAAATGTTCCTCAACTTGATATCGTTAAAACAAACAGTGCAGTGGTCACTTTAAAAATGGCGGTATAGCGGGAGGGGGAAACTGGAAAAGCTTCACTCCCGAAATGATGTATCTGACCAATCACAGCCCTTGTGGTCTGCGTCGCCTCGACGCGTAGTTACAATTTTTTGGAGGTGCACGTCGAGCTACGGCGGAGGGGTCGGAGAGGGGTTGGCGGCGACGCAGAGAGGTCTGCGGGGGTACGCCGTCGATTCGACGCAGAAGCATAAAACAGGCTTTAGTCACAACTAATGAGGAAACATGGACTTACTTTTGAAAAGGAAAAACTCTATTTCATCTCTAATGCAAATGCAGTTATTTCTAATGCAGTTATTTCTCCCATAAATCCCTGTCACATCACAGAGCTCAGAATGTAATAAATCCCAGTAAGCACATCCTGAGCTTCAATGCTAAAAATTTGAAGCAAGAACCATTAAAATCTCACCACAAATTATTTGTAAAGCGCACTGTGGTTCAGTCTATTATTAGAGAGAGTTCCTGCAGAGGTGTTTGGATGAGAGTCTAGACTTGCCTGTGTGGACCTCCTGGACTGCCGTGCCTGTCTGGATCTGGCTTTCCTCTGAGACTCAGACTCTTCATCACGCACAGGGGTGAGGTATGATCTACAGACGCAACACAAAGAAACTAAATCCCACAGCTGAAGCAACAAGTGCTTTTGTTGAGGCTCTTCAAGGCAAGTTTAATTAGAGTAAAAATAGGCTTTGGGGAATAAATAAGACAGTACACTTATAAGACAGGAACTGGAACATGATGCATTGTTTGAACTTAATTTAAATGTTGACATGTAGAATTCAAATAAAAGACCAAAAAAAATCTAATGAAGAAAACATATTGTTTCGTTGCGTCTAAAATGGCAAAATACAGTTTTGTGGCTGGCAATAAATATTTATGGCTAGTATACCTTCTCAATTCAGGTTTAAATTATTATAATTAATAACAATGATTTATTAAATTATTATTCAACATCTGTATATCATTGTTACCATATTTGATGAGCTCTATGCGTGTGCATTGATCAAGGTTTATGTGTGAATAAAAGCTTAAAATCTGTTCATTGTTTAAAGTGATCTCTTCAGAAGACTTGGATCAAACTGCTCAATTCATATGGTTTACATTTATGTTTATGAACTTTTTGAAACGTTTGGTTGCATGGACGTTTACACGTAGATACAATAAGTTTGAATACATTTATGTTTTCACAAAAAAAATTCAGCTTTTTTGCGTCAAATCAAATTGGAGCTGGTTGGTCTCTTTTTTATTTTATTTTTTAAAATCACAATGGACATAAACAAAATGGTAAAAATACGTCCAGAACAAATGGTGCTAAAAATAAGTGTGCAGTAACACTCCATGATCCCATGTTGCAGTGCATGTGTGTACCTGCGTCTCTCTCGTCCGTCAGAGCCTAGTATAGTTCCAGTAGTGGAGGTGGTAGTGGTGGTGGCTGCAGTGTTGATTGTGGGGATGACCGCGGCCGACTCCTTCTCCTTCTCTTTTTCCTTGTCCGCGTTCTCCTCGGCCCAATACCTGTAACGCATCAACACATTTCACTGTCACAACCAACTCTTGAATGTTTAATTTGTAAGTTAATTTAAAGAGGTGTGTGTGCTCGTACCTAGACAGCAGGCTGCGGTGTCCTGTGGGTGAGGTAACGGAGGAGGTCGTTGTTGTGGAAGTGGCAGAAGAAGTGGAACTTAAAGCATCATCTTGCCTCCTTCCAAACGAGCCGCTGGGACAACACATACAACAGTCAGTGGTCAAAACATAGGTTAAGAGGAGAGAGAGAGAGAGAGAGAGAGAGAGAGAGAGAAGAGAGAGAGAGAGAGAGAGAGAGAGAGAGAGAGAGAGAGAGAGAGAGAGAGAGAGAGAGAGAGAGAGAGAGAGAGAGAGAGAGAGAGAGAGAGAGAGAGAGAGAGAGAGAGAGAGAGAGAGAGAGAGAGAGAGAGAGAGAGAGAGAGACCACCACAAGAGAAAACAGGAAAGAGTTCCCCGTTATTCCGAAAAACCTGAGAAAGGTCCATAGTGCACAAAAAAACCCACCAAACTAAAGAAAAAAAAAACACACACAAAAAATAATAATAATAAACCAAACCAAACAAAAACACAAAAAGCAAATCAAAAGCAAAAGAGAAACCAAAGCAAAACAAAATAGAACGCAAAGCAAAGCAAAAGCCATGTCCATAATGTGCAAATAAAAATAATCAAATGAAGAAATTAAATAACAATATGGACTAGGCAATATAAAAAAAAAATTCTATATTTAACTTCAAACACAGTTTACTTTTTATTTGCATATTTTTGCCTTTGCATATTTATTCACTGTTTACTCAACTGAGAATCAAAATTAAAACAATACTATTCAACATTATATTAGGTAATATTTAATTGAATATTTCTGAAATCGTATTTTGAAATTTCAGTTACTAACCACTCAATTAAAGTTATCTCGTCAACCTTGGCGAATACATTGTGAATTTTTATTATATTGACCAGCACTATATATTCAGTGTTTTCTAATGGATAGTGTAAAACTATTATAAATCACCAGACAGCAAGAATGGCAAGAAGCTACATGTGGGGAATGCAAAGACACACGGAGGACATGGAGTATGAGTGTGAGTGTGTGAGTGTGTGAGTGTGTGTGAGTGTGTGAGTGTGTGAGTGTGTGTGTGTGTGTGTGTGTGTGTGTGTGTGTGTGTGTGTGTGTGCGTTTGCTGCGCGGTGCTCGTGCAGGTACCTGCGGTGAATGCTGTAAGACTGGTGGTAGGAGGAAGGCTGCTGCCAGGCTTTAGAGTTGTTAGGTTCCAGGCTGGAGGCAGAGGAGGATTTGGCGGGCAGGTCGCGAGAGCTAGACGTGCGGCCTAACGCTAGCGTGTGAGACGTACTGCCGTGTGGAAGTGGCGGGGTGAAAGAGGTGAGTTAGCAGGGAGCAGCGGACAAACACAAACACACACACAAAATGTTACACGTATGTTTAAAGCACTGACTCCCTTGTGGGGGGGCTTGGTTTCTTATAAAAGTCATATTTTGGGATATAAATCATCAAATACCATCAATAACTTCACTGGGCATAGAAAAAAGAAACCTACTCGTTATCTAGAAACCATTTGCATGCTTTATAAAATAAAGATCTAACACTTCGGGGGGTCTAACACTCCAAACCAGGCAGCAGCACAAAGTCAGTCATGCTAATTTTAGACCAGGGTTTTACTAAAATGTATTCTTATGTGTCAAAGTTAGGCTGTTAACTGAAATTATTAACGAAATATATATTTAATGAAATAATTTAGCTTAATTTTGGATCATGAGAATATTCATTAATCATTTTTTGTTCTATTTAAAGCTCTAGTTTGTAACAGTAATAAAAAAAAAAATCTAATCTGAATACAGATTTGATTTTATGATATGACTTAATACACTTCCGTTCAAAGGTGTAGGATCGGTAAGATTTTAGATGTTTTTAATGTTTTTGAAAGAAGTCTCTTATGATCACCAAGGCTGCATTTATTTGATCAAAATATAATAAATATTTATAACAACTTAAAAAAGCGGTTTTGTATTTGAATACGTTTTAAAATATAATTTAATCCTGTGATGCAAAGCTGAATTTTCAGCATCATTACTCCAGTCTTCAGCATCACATGATCCTTTAGAAATCATTCTAATATGCTGATTTGATGCTCAAGAAACATTTCTGATTATTATCATCAATGTGGAAAACAGTTGAGCTTCTTAATATTTATGTGGTAATCGTGATAATTTCTTTCAGGAATCTGTGATGAATAGAAAGTAAAGAAACAACATTTATTTAAACAATTTTTTTGTTCCTCATTGTAATTCTTTTATCAATTGAATGCATCCTTGCTGAATAAAAACATTAACTACTTCCCAAAGATCCCAAACTTCTGAACATTAGTGTAAATAGAGACAACATTTTATATGATTACAAAATGTGTCTATATACATGAAAATATACAGGTGCCTTTATATTTAAGAAATTTATATTCCTTGAAAGGGGATATTTGTGGGATCTTGGCAGTAAATAAGGATCTTCGCAACGGAAGTGAATCAATCAAAAATAACTTTATCAGGACAATAACTTTATCCTAATGCTGTTGTAAAGCCTAAACAATCTGTTCCGGTAATTTCTATTATAACTGTAAAGCTGCTTTGAAACGATCCATCCTGTTAAAAGCGCTTTATAAATGAAGGTGACGAGACTTAAAAAGCTTGAAAACCTCTGTGTTATATATGCTTATGACGGAAGAAAGAGCATCTACAAGAATGTACGATGTCAGTGAGCCGAGATTAACGCACTTCTGCAGTTCTACTCAAGTTAGCTGTTAGTTAGTTATGTTTCTAAACTACAGTACTTACACCTAGTTGATATTAAGATCGTCACGCAAAACGTCACACACAAACGCAAGACGACAGCAGCTGCTATAAATGCTTGACAGGAAAATAAAGGTGCTAGAATCATCTCAGGCAGCAGCAGCAGCAGGAAGAAGCGAGCGATCTACTAGTCTCAATCGCTAGGCAATAACATGAATATTATTACTATGGTAAAAGCTAACCTGCGCTGATAGCTGGAGGTTCTGTTTTGTGAGGCCGTTCCGTCGTTGTTCTTCAGGTCTTCATCCCAGCGTCTCCTGGTGTATGAGCCGCTACGTACCAGACTAGCAGCCGAATCCCTGAGAACCACAAGCTAGAAATAGTACCTCCGATTCCAGAGAACCACGATTGAAAAATCTATTAGACTACTAGCCTAGCTTACTTCTACCAGAACATCGTTCTTAGTAGTGAACATGCTGCATAAGCCACAAAACCATGCTACACTTGAGCTTGTGCTTCAACACACAACATGGAGCATCAGAAGGTGCTCTCAAAACAGCACGTGTCCTTTCTTTACCTGTTTTCCTTTTCGTCAATGTCTGATGTGCTAACGTGTCTCCTCGGGATGGATGGAGCAACATACGCCAGGCGTGTCTTCTCCTTTTCCTGTGCGCATAAATGAAGAGGCTCAAAAATCTGGAAACAAGACTATAAAGTGAACTCCAGAATCGAATGCAAACAGCTCCAACCTTCCAATTAAAAACAGGATTATTTCCCCCCCAAATGAAACTAAACTAAATTCTAGTAGACCTTTTCCTTGTCCTTATTGTCCAGTGAGGATGAGAGGCGAGGAGAAGAGGCCGAGCGCATCACCCCAGCTGTGTCCTTCTCTTTTTGTGCCTCTTTAGTTGTGCTGATTTCTGCCAGTGCTCCGTAACTGCCGGTTTTCCGCAGGCCCAGACGCCATGATGCAGGAGACTCATCCTTCCTCTCTTCCTCTTTAGGGGACACCTTCCCTGTAGGTGTGCTCACCTGAGGAGGAGAAAGAACAAAAAAAGAAAGGATGGGGGTGGAAAACAAAAGTTAGTTCGTTTTGGGAGTGCATCAAGGGGTGTGAGAACAAAGAATACGGATTAGCTTGACAGGTCAAAGGAGGGTATACATATGGGAGCAGTGGACCGCAGGGCTGGGGAACCTTTTGATATTTTCACATTTTTAACGATTTTCAATAGAGTGCAACAGTGCCCGCCTTCTTTTTCAGCGGCGTTGGTTCCGGAAGTATTTTTTCCATTCATTTCTCCAATAGGGAATTCAAAAAAATCTTTGTCAAAGCGTTTTAAGTCATGAACCAAGCCAACCAGCAGCAATGAAGTGAATCATAACATTAAAAATTTTGATTTGAAACGAAAAAGTATTTGAAAATCTGACAAAAATATAAAGGTACAAGGCGGTGTACTTAAAGGCTTTAGGGATGCGTTTTGCTTGTTTCGCATCTCTGATTGGTGGAATTTTCTGTACAGCATCATGAATGTAGTTTATCCACCACTAATTCCGCAGTTAAATATGATTATTTTAAAACCAAGTTGAAATAATGTGGACTGACCTCTACAAAAGCTAATACCATCGATTAACAACCTCATAGCTCACAGTAAGGTTTAGAAGTTATCATTGACAATTTTTTACTTTCGGAACCTGACTGTTGCACTCTCTATATATATATATATACATTCACACCTCAATATTTATGTATGTGCTCTGAAATGGACAAAATCCACTAGCTCGACCTTCAAAGAATGTAATGGCAAAAAAATAAATAAAAAAAATAATAATAATAAATTGTATATAGTAAATATTCAACAACAAAACCCCCCACATATTTTAATAAAATAAAGAAATTGTGCAATAATCAATAAAAATATTAAAAGGGGTAAATACAATATTTTATAAAAAAAATAAAGAAACATTTTTAAAAATATATGTTTTTAAAATAAATATTTTATTCTAGAATAAATTGTTTATAAAAGTAAATAAATGACTAAATAGATATATTTTAATAATAAAAAATAAAACTAACAAGTACAAATAATTAAAAAAAATCTACTAAATAACTATATATAAACAAACAAACAAATAAAAACAAACGCCCAGCCCTAGTGCTCTGATGCCTATAGAATTCAAAAATAAACTTCAAGGGAAACACGTGTGGGGTCATTTTGAACGATTTTGTGGATTCCATTGCCTTCAGAAATGCAAACTTGAATTACTATTGTTTAAATAAAAGAAACCTAGTCCTTAAAGGGGCACTTGGCAACTATTTCAACTTAATAAAACCGTTTAGAAATCATTTGAATGGTTCAATAACCTGTTCTGGAGAGAATGGTGACTTTCCCCGCTCCCCCCAGCGTCCACAGGCGGAAAACCAACCTTGCAACATGGGGACTAACGTCCCGGTAAGTTGGAAATAGCAAGTCTCGTGAGAAGCGAGAACGAGCGAGAAACACGAACTGCTTTATGGCAATTCGACATAATTCTATGATACTGTGTATGATGTAGTATAACCCACTCGGTAGACAAAGCTCCACACGATAAAGTTGGCCGCCTCCGATAATAACAAATGCACATGAGCAGCGGTAGAAAGCGGGAGGAAGGTGCCGCAAGTGAGTTTTTATGACAGTGTTGTGAAAATATACGCCGCACAGCTGTAGGGGGAGCTCGATGAGAAAACATGCGACAACAAAAGTGAAAATCAGCGTAGAAATGACTAGAGTTACCAAGTGCCCCTTTAAGATGATAAGAATGGTAAATGATATTATAAAAACAACACAGATGACAAAACCAAACATGCCCAATTTCAATCAAGATGTTAGTTTTTGCAAACTCATCAGCATCCTGGTGACCTGTTAGGGTTTAGGGTCGATAATAAATTAATTCGCCCTTATCAAAGTACACGCAACACTGATGTCACCCGTCATAAACTATCACAAAGATGATCTTCGACAGAAAACAGCACGTCATCACAGCCATGACTGACAGCGACAACACCATGCAGTGAGCCAGTAATAGGAAGAGGAAATGGTCTTGGATTAGGCAGTTATCTGATTGGTTAAGGACGTGGTCAGGTGGGGAACATATAGGGCGGGAATCACAATGCTGAACACACCGAGGCCTCACCATCGCTTTTTTGGGCACAAGCGCAATGCCAGTTTTGCGCAAGCCTTGACGCCACAACGCAGGACAGCCTGGCTCCCCCCCAGACACAAGGGCAGTAATGTTATCAGACTAAAGCCATCCAAGACAACACAATGATGAGTAGAGAGAGAGGGAGAAAAAAACAGATGATTGTAAAGAAAAAGAAAGAAAAAGGAAGAAAGAAAGAACCCCTGAATGAAATAAATCAAGCAGCAAAGGAAAGGAAAAAGATACTTCATGATGCACGAGTGACAGCAAAGAAAAAGAAAATATATGAAAAGCCCAGTCACCACATATAATGAGTTTAGCCGGCATAATTAATAAGTAATTAAATAGCAGAATTTTACTGCAATATTCTTCTTGGACACATTACATAATAAAAAATAAACAAACATTAATATTAAACAAAGAATAATGACTTGGATTATACTGCCCTATAACGTCTGAGGAATAGCAATCAATGTTTTGTGCATTTAAAATGTTTTACTGCACATATCTTGGCCAGATATGTATCTTGTGCACAGCAGCTCCAGTCATTATTTTTTTTTTTTTTTTTTATAAATTTATTGAACTGATTGTTATTCATTATTATTTATTATAACTTCTGCCTCCCACCAAAAGGAGCTTCTGATGAACAGACTTATAAACAAAGATTATGATGCAGCCTGTTTGTTTGTGGGTAGGTTATGTGGTAACAGTCAGTTTCGATAGAGTTTGGCTCCCACATTGCTAGTATCATGCTGTACCAGCTGAGCTTCAGGAAGACTTTTAATTACAGGAACATGGGCGTCTCCTTATTTTACATTTTACACAAATTTAACATTCATCAAAAATATTTATACTTTTATAATGCAACTAGCATTAAATAAAGCCAAGTTTAAATAAATAATAAGAAAACAAATTATTTAAAACATAATTAAGCTAAACTTATTAAAAACAAACAATAACCAAACTGAATTACATTAGGTTACAGTGTTAAATCTGTTTAGAGTGTTTTTAGAAAATGCTATTTTTCATAACAGATTTGATTTCAAACTTGATGAAAGCCCGACATTGATGAAATTCCCTTACACTCCAGCAGAGGGCAGCAGGAACATGGTAAAGAAGTGTGGAGGACATTTTCTCTACTCTCAAGTGCACAGTACAAGAATTCACTGCACACTGATGCCTGAAAACCACATAGATCAGCTGACTTTTTTTAATTTTGCAACCATGCTACGCTGATTCCACGTAACAATGAATTTGAAACTCCTCTGTTATGAAGCCTACAAACTGTTCCAACTTGAAACAGCCAATAACATTCATTCCGAAGAGTTGCAAATGCAACTTTCTGGCTTACTGACACATGCACAAATACATGCTATGCATGAAGAATGAATGATATTTCCAAGGAGAATTCTTGCTGTGGGCTGAAAGACAGAGAAACATGGAAGACAGATACCGGGTGGACGTGCCGGCACGTTCAAGGGGAGATGTACCTTTTTGGTAGGTGAGGTTGGGGTGGTCACCTGGTTGCTTGGGGTAGTCGGCGACGTGACGGTGATACTAGTAGGCGCAGGTGCAGGTGTACTGTTGGAAATGCTTGATGGAATAGAAGACTTGGTCTTGTCTGGAAAAAAATAAATAGTGTGTAAATAATTTTCACTAATTAAACAGCAAGCTAGTTGGGGAAGCATATGTGGTGGTCAATGTTTCGAACAGTTACCTGCTTCGTTCTCAGACTCCGAGTCTTCCTCCTCCTCTTCCTCACTAGAGCAGCTAGACTCGTCCTTCTTCCCCTCCCCCTCTTCTTCATCCACCTTCTCTGGCTCCAGAGTCTCGATTCTTGGGGCAGTCTTCTCTGGCTCCAGTAGAACCGTTTCTTTACTAAAACACAGATGCACTCAATGGTTAAGCACCACTTACATCAAACTCCTCACACACAAAGCTTTCACTTTTAAGGCCTATTCACACTAAAGCCCCAAGTATAATTTGAATTTAGCGCGTACGCAAAGGTATGTGTACAATGCGTGTGACGTAAATTTCATCATTAGCATAGTACACATATTCTATACACACACAGACTGATTTGTCACATGCACCTTGAATTTTTTGCACTAATAAGTTGGTCCCTAGGGTGTTCAGTTTGACAGTCGGAAGAGGCAGAACAACGAACAAACTACTGAAGATCGCAACAACAAGAGTGCTTGTGTGAGGATATTAAGAGATACACAACTGTAGTTTAAAAGAGTAGGCAAATATTTATATCAGTTGTAACTTCTGGAGAGAAATAACACAGACACTGGACAAAGATGAAACTTTCAATTACTATTGGTCATCTGCTTATTTTTCGATCAAATCGAATGTTCTTTAGGCTTTCACATTTTATTCACTTGCTAGGTACAAACAGAAACGAGCATCTATGAAAATTGTGTGTTAGTGTAATGGTAATGCATGTGCCTGCAGATGCAAATTATTAGGGATGTCCCGATCAGGGTTTTTTGCCCTCGAGTCCGAGTCATTTGATTTTGAGTATCTACCGATACCGAGTCCCGATCCGATACTTATATAATACATAAAAAAAGAATAATGAAGAGAGAAAAAACAGATCCAGGATGTTCCTTATTTTTTATTTAATTCACCTTATTTTAACATTCAACAACTCTGTTAACAAACAGAGCACTTCTGTGAGGTAGCTTGAACAATCAAGTAATAAATAACATAAAATCTTCACTTTTGGACTTTAGTGCAACAGTAAATATAGAAAAAGTCTAATATAAAAACAAATAGCACCTCAACTTAAAATACCCGGCAAGCATGTAAACAAAAATAAAAAGGTTTTAAAAGTGTATAAAAAAATAATGAGAATGTATATATACTCATTAGGGGTGTAACAGTTCACAAAATTTGCGGTTCGGTTCGATACGATACAGCAAAAAGAAAGAAATGCCAGAGAAATTTCCTATTTATTAAAAGAAAAACTATTTTTAAATAAGTTTGAGTTTTCCTACATCTTGAAACTTTCAGGTTTATAAATGGGGGTAATCTATGAAGGATGAACAAATAATGTTTTGGTAATCACATTAAAAATAACATTTAAATATATATTTATATAATATTTGAGTTTTGAAGTGCAACATTAAATCCATGTTCATTCACGGCACAATGTTTCTCCTGGTTCCCACGTCAGCGCTGTTTGATCTAATAGAGATCTACGGTTAATAACGGAGAAATGTGAATGCTTCTCACTAGATCTCGCAGCAATGTTATTACTTCAGTGGCAAATTCAAATGTTTTCTTCACTGGATCTCTTAGCACAGTGTTGCTTGATCTCGCGCTGCACAGATGTTGCTGGTCCGAACTGATAAATGGTCCGTTAAGCACAATATAATGAGTAGCGCAGTTTCGTTCCGCTTTCATTACGTTTGCCATTTGATGTTGCGCAACGTTGTGGCCAGCGCGGATTTTGTCTGCAGGAAAAATGGTCCAAGGAATCGTTCGGTTTGTGTGCGTACCGAACCGGAAGCCTCGTACCGAAACGGTTCAATAATTACGAATACATGTACCGTTACACCCCTAATTTACATCCGAGTCCTGATCGGGAGGTAACGTCCGATTACGATCGAGTCTGAAACCACGTGATCGGGCCCGATTTCCGATCGCGTGATTGGATCGGGACATCCCTACAAATTATATGTCCTCAATAGCAGTTCAGTTTTGCCATTTAAAACTGATTGAGTTTATACTACCAGACCTGAACCCCAGACCACTTTTTCAAGCAGATGCATCCAAGTTTGGGAAAACAGCTAACACATTATCACCCAAACAATGATGAAAAAAAGATTTGTGTCCACACCAAAAGCTCCAGTGTGCAAGCGCCCAAGTGGATTCAGGTGCGTGTGTCCTTGACATTTATGGTAGGGTCAAGACAGTGGGCAAACAGTATTATCAATCACATAATGGTGTTTTTTCTCTAGTGAGCAGGACCCATTTACCTCTTCAGTTGTTTCACAGATTGATTATTGTCCCCAGTAGTCGTAGTTTCTATTAAAGGAGACTTCTTAACATCCTTCTTTTCACTCAGAAGCTAAAGCAAACAGAACATGTCAGCTTAAGGCTACAGAACAAAGCAGAATTGTTTATGATTGAAGGACCGATGCCAAAAGTGTGAAATTACCAGATTCTGTTTCTTTTGCAGCTCTTCTAAATATCCCAAGACATCTTCATCAGCTACGTCAAACGCCGTCTGACCCTGAAAACCAAAATGCAACATTGTTAGGGTTCAATTAGAATCAGAGACATTTTAATTGTAGTTCAGACTCTGTCTGTTCTACTAGCTTCAGTGTAGTCTTCCTCGGAGCCATAAAACCCATACCACTTTATTGATGACGTCCATATCACACAAATGTTCTACAAGTATCCGGCATGCCTCTTCTTTGCCCCAGTGTGCAGCAGCGTGGAGCGGAGTCCAGCCATCGTAGTCTTTAATATTTACATCATACCCTGCTTGGATTAAAAGCCTGCAAACAGTTAAAGCGACAGAAATAGCATGATGAGATTAGACAAATCTGGGTTTCTTGGATTTTGGTGCCGCAATCTAAGCTTGGCCTCATTTGCCAAAGGCCTGGGATATTGTGTAGACCAATGGGCTCATTTTTCCATTGCCTAGAAGGCATGTTACGCATGCCAACATTTAGTTGTCACACATAGAAATACACATTAGATGTGAAGTTTTCAGAGATTCCACACACCAAAAAAAAAAAAAGTATATCCGGTTACAGCCCTGTTGTTTTGGTGCAGCAGCAGATGGAGCAGTTGTCACAGTCATTCAACTCTGACATCCAAAGGCCGAAAGCACCGTAAACAGAGACACTGCCTAACTCCTGCCACACATCTTGAGCAGTGTTTGTTCAACAGCTCATGATAATCTACTGTAATGGGAGGCAGATAAACAGGTGACATACTGTCTCGTCCTGTGTACAAGAACCAAAAAGAGTTGAAAGGTGAAGAATGGGATGGACCAAGTAAAGCCTCAACACCTGCTGTACCAAAGTTTCATTTGTTTCTACCATCACTAGCTGCTAAATCTCACTTATTGGCAAAAGAATAAAGACAAATATTATCACAGGTGTCCTCTGAATCCTTTGAGGATGGCTAAATCTTTCTAATGAAGGCAAGCAAACTTACTTTAAAACCTCAGCGTATCCCTTGGCTGCAGCGACATGCAGTGCGGTCCCCCCAGACTTGGCGTGCCGGACGTCGTTGATCAGGCCGCTGTTAAGCCACTGTCGCGCATCCCTTAGCATGATCCGCTCCTCCTCTTTCCTGGCCGCCTCGATATCCACGCCTGGAGCAAGATGGAGGGAGGGGCAGATACTTAGGATTAGTACATATACTTGACCTGGCCAAACTGCAGGATGTCCATGAGGCCAACCATTCGAAAAGCAAAATATAGAATACTTCGACATGGTAAGTTATTTTATGATGTGTTAAGCATGCTGAATGGCTCATGTGAATGGCGCATGTTTAACTGCAGTTAAGAACAACAGGGGTCACTATGTTGACTACAGTGCAGCCAGGTTAACAGTTTTAGGAATGACTGGTGTGTCTATAATAGAGACAAAGGTTTGTTTGTGAGGAAAAAAATGTGCCTATTACAAATTTTTCATGAATTAAGTCAATTAAATTCAATGAAATTGTTCAAGTACATAAAGCTTTTATTGACTACTATCTGATTGATAGTACAAAATAACATTATAATCAAAGTAAATTAACTTTCTGCTGTGCCAGAACATATCACTTATTATTCAAGTGTGGAGAAAAATATTCGATGCATACTTAAATGATTTTAATTGTATCTAAAACACAACATGAAAAATACTTCATATTGGAGGACTGCCAAATAGGTCCTCTAGTCTATATACCCTGACCTTTACACAGGCATGTAGAGACCTGGGGCCAGTTGCGTAAACTTAGCCACTTGTTCAGACGGTGTCTTAAGAACTAGTTTGAACGTCTAACAGTAAGACAAGAGGTGATCAGTCTTACATTTCGATTTAAATTAGACTGTATTCTGACGAATTCTAAATTATATTCTGCCTTTTGATGTAACTGATTTTAAAATGTTAGAACCAGTCTTGAAGAAAGAAAAAAATTAGATGGCTAACTTTTAAGACTAGTCTAAGAAGTTTATGCAACTGGCCACTGAACAGCATTAAGCTAAAACCAGAAACAACAATAGAAACTTCAGAGTATATAACTTTGAAGTAAGCGACCATTAATCAAAACGCTTAGCAACATCTCCACTGCACTGAGTACCAAAACAAGGTCAAACCTTTATATATAGAAAGATAACTGACTGCTACTTGACCTTCCATTTTTGTCAGAATAATGAACGCAAAAGGAGGCATCTCAGATTACAAATGAGGAGCATGCCACAACCCTTATTAGGCTACAGGACCAACTGAATGTCCGGCAGGTGCGACTGCTGGGGGAAGTGAACTATGATGTGATTAAAGTGACAGATTTTGATCAGTTTAGCTGAAGAGTTTGACAAGAGAGCTGGAAGTAACCCAGCAGCATGAAAAAGAAAGGTCCACAGGACAGAAATCTGTAGGAATACCTGTGCAAATTCCATGACAGAGCAGTGCAGTTTAGAGGGAAATTTCCGATTGTGGGAAGTAATTACGAGAATTAAGAACATGCCTTCATCCAGTGGAGACTGAATATCATAGGCTTTTCTGGAGTTAATAGGTGATGTCTAAACAGTAAGTTTAAGTAATGTCTAACAGTAACAGTAAAAAGCCATTCACTTTCAACAAGAGTTGTTGATTTCTGAGAACATGCCAGATGTCATTGTGAACACAACATTAGAGTCTCAGTGGACATTCGTTCAGAACTATATGTGTGCTGCCATTCGTGTGACTTATCTCTGCTTACGGGTATCAATTAGTTCTTTATTTGCCTGTGCAAACCGGAGCACCACCACTCCTCAGCAACCCAGGACAAAAGGCTGAAGATATAGCCTACTTTCGACAGGCCATCGAGATGAAGATTTCTCAAAATGGTGAACAAGTAGCGATGTCACCAGTGGCTCTGCTGATTCAACAAGGTCAAAAGATGGGGGAAAACAGCTTTGCTTTGTTTTTCCTTCTTAATAGTTTTGAATGCATTGTGTAACAGACAGCTGATGAGTATAATGGCTCTTTTTTCTCATCTGAAAGACCAAGGCAGCATGTAAAAACAGGTAGAACAAAAGTGCTCGGAGTGCCAGGAGAATATACAGCCTTTACAAAAACCAAGAGACAAACTGACCTCCACAAGAGCGCTAAACAACAGCCAAGCATATTGCCAGACAGCTAAAACAACCCTAATAGTTCAAGCAAAATCAGAAGAGGAACTGGTGGCATCATTTCAAACAAAATCAAGCCAAAACCAAGTTTGTTTCAGGTGTTGAAAACAGCTTGCCAAAGTGAACTACTATTGGCCTGTGGCATTTACATAATAGGTGGACGTGCTCTGCAGCTTCACCTTCTTCAGTCCAATTTTTCTGTTCAGTCCTTCAAGGTCAGACGTACATGAGTTAAACATGAACACAAATTGAAGTTGTAATTGTAAATGAAAGTGACAGTTACTGAGAGGAAAGCGCATAGAACATATTTAAATATTTATCTAAACTCGGCTCCCAGCAGTGTGGGCTACATCGGGATGTTCGCTAACAGTATACCAACCACTGCTTAAGTATTTCATACTTCTTTTTACCCTTAAGCAAAGCACGAAAAAATAACTTTGCTGTGAGTTTACCAGACTTCAAGGCTATTTTATATAAGGTACATTAATCCTCTTCATACCAAAAGTCAGTTATCATCAGACAGATTATGTCACCATCTATGATGGACTTAGCGCCTCCGACATCTGATTTTCCAAGCAACAGGAGCTGGAAATGTCTCTTGCTTTGGCTGGAAGAGGCACCTCGGTCACCTGATTCCCGTGGAAATGAGCAACGGCTAATAAGTCTAAGGGATGACCCTACTGAGGGGGGTGGTGGTGGCCTCTGCTTAAGTTTAACCTCATGACTAGGGTTTCGTTCAAAAGGAGACAGGGAGTGGGAAAAAAAAGATAATCACATTAGAAGAGGTTGAAGGTATTATACAACACTCATCGTTACATAATGCCATCTCTGAGCTGAGAATAGAGCTGTGTCTTATATTACAATGCATGGAGTAAAGCGTGGGCTCTCGTTCCAGTCTGACCACCGAAAGACAAGCATCCTCCTTGATCAGGAGGAGAAGGATGATCCATTTCAGCTGTTCAAACATTAGGGTTTACCAGTTATGATATCTGAAGTCCTAAGTCTGCGCATGCAGAACTGTACGCTGTAGGTGTGCATAGGTCTATCATACATGCTGACGCCTCTTCTCCAAAGCTGAAGTGTCCAACCCTCAAATGAAAGCTGACAGCTCCCATTGGCAGGGCCTCACTGAATGCCCATGAGTGTGGGCTGAAATGCGAATGTTATATAACATGCTCTTAAAGAGTGTGACATGCTAACAAATAGCAGGGCCGATCAATTATCAACAAATTCACGCTGAATGTTGAGCTGTTAGGAGAGATAAAGGACAAGCTCGATTTTTGCAGTCTGAGAATTGTCTTCTTGCCGCATACCAAGATGGGGCTCATGTTTCAGCAGCTACTGTGGGCTTACTGCTGGCCAAAGCCACAAAAGCTAAACCTGAGGAAGGCACACCTTTCTTCACAAAACATTTTTATGCCTTGGTCAGCCAATATGAATTTTTCAATGGTGAATGTCAATATCTAGTGAAAACTAACTAAGGCTATTGTTAGGTTCTGAAATAGATTAAAGTGAGAAAAATCAGTTCTGTTAATTGATGTGATAGTCCCAAAATGGTCAAATATCAACTGACTAATCAGACTTTCCCAATTTATGAGTGACAGTCAAGTGGGTCAAAGGCAAATTTCTCCAACATTAAGAAAAACAGAAATATAGGCAAAACACCACAAATCATTCTTAAAATAAAAATAAATACATTTTATCTTTTTATTGAGGCTTTTTCCTTCATTATGCTATCAGGACAGTTGCACCACCCTGACACTGCTTATCAACCAGCAAGAACCTTGGTCTTGGAGCTTGTTCAAATGTATGGCTAAATCCTATTTACAGATTTTCATAGAAGAGAGTGGAAATGCTACAGCTCCATCACCAGCCGCTCTTGCCTCCTCTCCTGTGCCAGAGCAGCCTTTATTATCTCCCGCTGATACATCCTGGTGAGCAAGGAGCCAAACACCACCTCAGGCTGGTAACGCATGTCTGAACAGTGCCTCTCAGTAGCAGTGGGGCTCTGTTTCATCATCAAGACTGGTAAAGGCCAAAAATAGAAAAACCATTCCATCTAGTTTGGGATAATTACAATGGGCAGCAGGTTAAATGGATCATGTTTCTCCATTATGTAAGAGACATCACTACAGCAGGCCGCACCGACTTCCCTAAATCCTTTATGACTTTGTACACGCATGACATACATTGGGCATCAAGTACCCAGGCAAGTCCACAGGTAGGTTAAGAGTGGCCACAGGAGAAAGGGCGTTGTGTGTTGCGTTACTGTCTGAGCACTGCTCTAATATTAATTCTGAGTCAATGCACCCCGCTGGAGTCCTGCCAAGACTTGCAGCCTCAACTTAAGTGCACGGCAGCTGGGAAAGTTTATCATGATGCACATATCACCCCTGGCCATTTGTACGAGGCAATTAATTTGAAGAACTGACTCAAAATCGTCAGAAAGAAATGATCTCAACCACAGCATGACGCGGACATGACACTAAGCCTTGTACACCCATGCCAAATCATTGTCAGTAAAGATGAAGGGTAGCAGTACCTTGCCGGTTGATCTCATTTTGCAAAAGCTCCTCCATGGCCTCCTCCTCTGCGATATCCAATGGTGTTTCTCCCTCGCTGTTTACTACACCGACATTTGCACCTTGACTGATAAGATACCTGCGAAGACATGACATAACGTTTAAAAAGGCAACAGGTGCGATTAGTACAATCATTTAGAGATCCAAATTGAACTGACAACTGCTCATTTGGAATTAAAATTAAAAATTACTACCTTCATAGACACCTCAAGACTTTAAGTGGTGATTAGCATCTTGATCAAAATTCAGTTTAGTGGTCCTTCACTTCTGTTACTGGTTAACAGCGTGGATTCATGTCACAGAGTACATAGGCTTTTAGAGTTATAAAGGAGTGGCAGTCTCTTGCCTGAAAGACCGTTTCAGCATTGACCTTGGTGATCAACACATCGCCCTCACTAACCTCACTGCTCATATGTCAGATTCAAAAACCACAGCACTAGGGAACAAGACCACACAGACCTGCCATTACTACAGTCTGGATCTTCTTACATATTCAAAGCAGCTCAACTAGCAGTTTCTTAATATGAATCAAACACACTTGCAAAACTTGTTGCAAGTACAGAATACGAAGCCCTCGACTTATGAATTGTTCTTTGCAACTTGTTTGAAACTGGTCATTCAACAACAATGTGATGCGCCTTCATTGTTCTTGCTTTGCTGAGATTAATTTGCTGGCAACGTCAAACCAGACATCCGAATCAAATATCTTGCAGGGTGGTCAGAATTATAGAGAAAAAAAACATCCTTATTTATTCAAGGCATGTGCGGAACTCCACATTTTTTAACTAGGCCTAGCTAGTCGGTTATTGGACGACTAAACTAATCAACCACCCTGGCTCATTCGTATACATATTAAGGTTGACACATTTGCCAGTGTTCAGTGAATTTTTGCAGGCAAAATCCATGGTAATCCACGTGATAGGGAAATTACCAACACAGAATTTGCAACTGGTTCAAGTTGGTCATGCAGATTCGTCATGTTGGCCAACAAAAGCTGCTTGGTTTTAAAGTGACTTGTCTAAGGTGTGCTGCATGCATTGCTACAGTAATGATAATAGACAATGGACCTTTTGACCACGCCTTGAGCCCTGTCCCCATTATGGGTAAAAATAAGCTTTTTTCAGAATTTAGGATGGTTTTCGAGAAGAAACTTTGGGAAATGTCCAATTGCATGTAGAAAATGTGCATATTAGTATATAAATTGTATTTCTGAATCATAAGGCTTTTCATAGGCGTTTGAAATATTGTGTACATAGGTGTTTCATAGTGTATCGTTTTGCATAGGCGTCGATTTCGGTGGGGACGGTGGGTACGCGTCCCCACCAGATTTCGTCATGAGTCATTTTGTACCCACCACTCTTGGAAACATTGAGGTACGGATGTACCTAATACAAATAAAACATCTCCAGTTAACTAGCAGAGCATTCATTTAGTTCGCTCTTAAATAAGAGATCTAGCGCTAAAATGTTTTGTTTTTTAACTCAAGCTGAGCGCTCGTGTCCGCTGCTATCAGTGTCGTGGATACAGTGTTCTCTGTGGCTCGCGCACAGTCTTCACTCGGACGCGCACTTCAATCTATCGCCGTTGCGGAGAGACTCTCTATATATTCATTCCGGTGAAATTACAAAATAAAATGCACACAAACGTGTCCCTGGCTGCTTGATATAGACTGTAACCACTGATGAACATATTCAGTTTTGAGAGAAAAAAAAACTATACCGAGGGCGGATTAGAACCCGTAACCTCTGACACGCTTGGCAAAAGATCTACCACTAGACCAGAGTTTCCGCTAGAAAAAAATGGTGCCGGTCAAAGTGACCGACAGAGGTTTCGTTTAACGGACATTTTGATGAAATGCCGGTCAAATATCGCCTCTTAATTAGTCAAGTTGAGGAAAACTCGAGGCAGGCTATGTTACTTAAAAAAATGACATAATCAGGCCGTATAGAATGCAACATGTTATTATTAGCCTAACTTTCAAATAGACGGAAAAAACCATGAACGTCCGATTGGCGTCAATTAACACCAATTGTTTTTTACTATGGTTTCACACACATTCACTTTTTAAAACATTGAGGCACGGATGTACCTAATACAAATAAATAAAACATATCCAGTTAACTAGCAGATCATTCATTTAGTTCGCTATTAAATAAGAGATCTAGCGCTAAAATCAGTTGTTTTTTAAATCAAGCTTCTTGCGCAATCTTCACTCGGACGCGCGTTTCAATCTATCGCTGTTGCGGAGACTCTGCACAGGCGAAGCACTGTTATTGGGCGCAGAGATATCACGCAACACCTGAAATAAAGCTTGCCACAAATAACCGGCGAAAGTAATGATTATGCATGAAACATTTAAATTGTTGATAAATTGATAAAGTTGACGATGCAGACTCGCCATCTTCGCAGTAGTGAACGCGCCTAGAGAGAGAAATGCTCACTTCATATGAATAAATTCTTATTTATTAATCCAGGCAAATTTGTTGATGAAACATTCATTAAAATGAAGATAAAATTTATACAAAACGAAATAAACTTTAAAAGAAAGGCTTTCTACAAAACAAAACTAAATAAGTGGTCAAAATCATGTCTGACCAATTCCAAATGTTTTCCGATATATAGGCCTGTTGGTCATCTTATGATCCTATCTTACTCATCTCATGCGGTTCCCTTTTCATATAGCCTAATCAACATAGATGAAAAAAAAAATAATAACATTATATTATTTATAAATATGAAACGTATATTTAAGTTTTTTAACTTATAATAAGCGTCACACCGCTCCGCTTTGCTCATGCTCTGGTGTGTAGTCTAATGCATGTGTGCGTGCATGTGGTGGAGGGCTGCGATTTTCGAATAATAATCAACCCAGTGATCTTCGAATATTATTTTTGCTTGAAATTTCGTTTTGTATAAATTGTATATTAATTTTAATCAATGTTTCATCAACAAATTTGCCTGGATTAATAAATAAGAAGCAATAGTGGACAATATAGGCTAATCAGGACCCGGAGGCGCCGGCGCGTGCACACTTCTCTCTATAGGCGCGTTCACTACTGCGAAGATGGCGAGTCTGCATCGTCAACTTTATCAAATTATCAACTTTATCAATAATATCAATGGGCCTGGCCATATCTGAAACGTCTCACGCAATCATTCGTTGTTTAGGTCTATATTACAGCCGTTCTAGGCGTGCGCTTTATTTGAAATGCAGCATGCGATGTTGTTTTATAACTTTCAAACCCTAGAGCCTGTTCCTTTATAACATAGCCAAAGGTCGGTGTATTTTTGCTTTATACATTTTAGAATTATTCTCAAATTCATATTGTGTTAGGGGGGCGGGATTATTACGCAATTTTAATCGGACAATTTGACCGGAGAGATTTAATTTTGTCGGACATTTCATTTTTTTCCCGGCCAATGACCGGTAATTACCGGACAACGGAAACCCTGCACTAGACCATTTCAGAACTCAAACAAAACTTTGCGGATTGATGCATTTATTTACGGGTTAAACAGGCTGCAGAGTTTGTACCCAGCACTTTTGAAAATGCACTTCTGAATGAGTCTCTGTCCCCACCACATTTCAAACCAAACTGACGCCCGTGTCGTTTTGTACAGCAACCACTGGCAACTGCTGTTTCGGGTTCTAGAAATATTAGTCCTATCAACATACAAAACAGGTCAGAGTACTCCCAATATTCAGGACAAAAGCAAGCTTGTTCCGTTTTACTGTTTGCCCCATTTAAAAGTCAGCTGATATTTTCTCTAGAGTGCCGTGTTCCCTATACAGATCTCAAGCTTCCAATATAGCTCAAGCATGAAATTAAAAAATTAAAAATGCCATGTCTTAGCAACATCAATTCAGCGTCAATTTGTCTCATTTGCAGCATTATTTGTGCAGCCTACAGAGGTGCTGCCTAAGTACAGTGTTTCCAATCTGTCACCTCTAAGATTCCATGACGGTCAGGACACTGCCTTAGAAGGCTGCTGCGTATGTAGGTAGTGGGCAGCAATACAGATCACTAGGTTATGAAACAATCATTTCATAGAAGAGAATGTGTTTATCAATTCTTAGTACAGGAAGAATGACTCAATGAATGGAACTGGATTCCCTGTTGTAAGAGTGTAAGTGTCAAATCATATGCACCACAGCTATGATTTCAGCACAGGCTAGGTGCTAATCCATCCCTATGGTGTAGCATGAGAACAGTGTTCACTGTGGGCTTCAAACCTGGGCTGACCTCTTAACCAGGTTACACATCGCTGGCAAAAAAACCCTATCAACATATGATCTGTGAGGGAAAAAATAAACTAGATGTACAACTAAGCATTTAAATATTTCATCACATGCTTCGGCTGAACACCTCGCAACTACAAGCGACTCTTAAAATGCACTTAACTTCCTAAAATTCTGCACTTAACTTCCTAAAATTGTTGCGTTGTGTATCATAATAGATCAAATTTGATAATTTCACACTTTGTTTATTTTGACAATTACAGCTATAATTTGTATTTTATACTTTTTTTATTTTTTATTTAAAGTATGGGACAAAGGTAAAACAAAAACTTTACATCAAGGGCATTGGAAAAGTAGCAAAAAATAAATTAAGGTTTAAAAAAAAAAGAAGATGATGAAATCAGTTCATTTTAATAAGAATCAACACCTGGGACAAAAAACTGCCTGAAGATGAAGAAACAACTTCATATTTTCTGTGGAGGGGAAGTGGTACTTACTCAGCGATGTCGAGGTATCCGCAGGAGGCAGCGGCGTGAAGGGGGATCCAGCCCTCGTTGTCGGGCTGGTTGATACAGGCCCCATGCTCCACAAGGAAGGTCACCATGTCTACATTATCATCTATGCAGGCCTGAAAAAAAGACGACAGGAGTAAACATCTAAGCAAGATTATCATCTAGCCGTTTAACAGAGTAAACCTATTCAAATCATTGACTTTTTCAAAACAGTATTCATGCAGCATTTAGCATTTTAGTTAGCCATGGTTCAGATTAAGAGCCTTAGCAAAGCAGTTTCATAAACCCAAAAGTGAGCTTCAGGCTCAAACATTAATCTTCAGTGGGAACCTATTCCTCCAAACAAAGACACATTATGTCATCAGGTAACCAAAATCCCTTGAGGGAAATATGGAGGTCTGTAATTAAAGCATGTCACCACTCGATGAGACAAAAGAGCTTGATAGAGACTAGCATTGTCACTGCCATGACAAATTGACAATACAGGCACTACTATTCAAAACCTTGAGGTCAGTAAGATTTTTACTTCGATTAAAGTTTTATTCAGCAAGGACGCATTAATCAAAAGTGACAGTAAAGACATGCATCGTGTTTGACAAATATTAAGTAGCACAACCACTGTCAACATGGATAAGAAAACCACCAAATCAGCATATTAGAATGATTTCGAACGATCATGTGACACTGAATAATTGAGTAATGGCTGCTGAAAATTCAGCTTTGAAAATGCAGAAATAATTAACATTCCTGTGATATTATATTAGATGTTTTACCAGTGCAACCATTTTGTTGTAAAGGGCTCATGAAAGCATGACTTGAACAGAGAGAAACATTTTTAAATAAACCATACAGAGAGAAAAATACTAACTTTACCCTCATTTTTTGATACACTCACTGGCTATGTTTCATTTACAAGGTACTTCTTGGACTAGCTCCTACCTATATGAGTGTCCTTTTAACAAGAAATCACGGCCATTATGGATTACGTTCAAATGATGTATTACACTTGTCGGTCCCCGGTGTAAAAACAGAATTAGGAAAAAAAGCATTTATGTTTGCTGCACCTTCTGCCTGGAACCTTCTTCGAAAATCGTTAAAAATGATTACTTTAATTTCTTATAGACAGTTTGTTTCCACTCTGAAAAGTATGGAGCAGGTGAACATTGGTCAGTGTAATTGTTCATAAGATTATTTTTTTCACCACAAGGTCTTTGTGATATATATGTATATGTATGTGTATTCTGATGTGTTTTTTTTTATTTTTATTTTTTATATGTTGAAATTTGTCCTTTATGTTTTTTGCTGCATCTTGGCCAGGTCTCTCTTGTAAAAGAGATTTTTAATCTCAATTAGTTTTTCACCTGGTTAAATAAAGGATAATAAATTCACCAATTCAATACATTACTTTCTTCATCTCTACAATCGGCAAACTCTTTTAGGTCACAGCGATCATGTTAACTACCAAATTTTTCATATATTTTAAGGGGGCCTTTCAGTGCCCATTTTCAGACTAAACTCAGTCACAACCTTGAGTAGCGTCCAACCTCGGTTCTCCACGTGCCCCCCTCTTGAACGCTTGCCCGTAAAATCTCCAGGTCTTACAGCTGGTTGCCTTGTCAATACCGCATAGACAAAGGGGGAAACACACGAACCAGCCTCACGTTCAGGGCACAAGACTATCTAGTTGAAATCCTTGCCCAAATTTGGGCTGTTTACAGTACCGCTGTAGAAACGTGTGGGCGCTCTTATCAGGGTCTTGTCAAGCTTGGTAGAGGTAACCAGGACTGTCCAAACAGTCGACTAACTTTCTGCGACTAATAAAATTTGGGTCAACCAAGCCTCTTCTAGTCGACTAACGGTTAGTCGGCAGCCTTATTAACATGATACAAAATGTGTTTAATCTGGAGACCTTTCATGGGCACCCAAATACAGCTCACTGCCTTATGTCATTCCCTGCCTCGGGATAATATGTGTCCTACCCAGTCCCCTTAAGGCAAGCAAGCATTCCCTCTAGCCTCAAAACACACCATGTTTATTATAAGCCTAACCCAGCAATTCTCACAGCCCAACAATGGCAATCCCTTGATGGCTGTAATTGTTCAGGCCTGACAGGTGTGAGAGTTCGTGACCACATCAGTGAATGCAGAGCTGGACTTTGAGCTACAAGACAAGGGAAATTACTCTCCAAAGAAAAGGACTCGTTGGATCTTGGAGCACTTGTGTAAAAAAAAATGTCAGTGTAAATTCCTTTCCAAAAATGCACAGGGTAGCTGTAAGAATGTCATCAGTGTGTAATGAAGACAGATTTGGTATTTGGGCGTCAAACTGATTTTTACTTGGCGGTTCGGCTATACGTCCAGGATACATTTGGGAGCTAATCTGAAAATTAACATTAGTAACAATAGCAAGGATTGCATCCAAATCGCACATCACAGATGGTCGCGGACAGGCAAGTACACGTACAGAGACCACAGACATGTAATGACTCAAAAGTTGTCACATCTCGGTTCAAAACAGTTTGACAGCGCTGGAGGAAAGCATGGATTAGAAACAGACATGGAGATACAGCAGATATATTATGTGGATAAAAAAAAAAAAAGAAATCTGCACAAGTGCAGTCTAGAATATGGCACATACATTTTTATTCTTTAAACACAAGTAATTTTGTCTTGTTTGCATTATTTAATTTCTTTGTAAGGCAATAGATTTTTTTTATGATAAAGAAAGTTAAGGAATCTTACACCGGTTCAAACTAGGCTATTGTACTGTATGTTGGATTTATGTTAAAGTGCTTGAATATTGACAATTCAGCAAAATGCCTGAAAATTTTGCTAATGTGTCTGAACTTCATGCAATATTAATGATGCTGGTCTAAACAACTTTGGTCATAAGCAGAACTCTGCAGCTGACAGCCATGTTGCTGATGGTAAAGAAGAAAACTGCAGAACTACCGAGATGAGTGACGTTCAATTGAACCCATAAGGATTCCTGTCTAAAATGTCAACAATAGACCACTTAAGCTGCTCTTAAGGAACAAGTGGTGAACTTCAATAGACAAAAGTACCACAAATACATCCAAACAGCTGCTGATCTGCCTTGTAACCAAATTTGTCAGCACCATGCTGTGTAGGATCTGGTCTTTGACGCACTGCTAAAAATAGAGGGTTTCAGCCCAGCACATGCTAAGTTTTGGTTTTACTCTTAGGGGCTGTTTACACCTGGCCACTTCATGCGTTTTCTGTGATCGGATAGCTATCCGATCGTGAAAAGACCAAAGCCATCTTTGGAAAATAGTCTCGACTAATCAAACCACGAACGACGTGCTAAGTTAGCTGAACTGTATGAGGTTCAGTGAACTTCTGAACTGTATGAATGGCGTTCGTGGTTTGATTAGTCGAGACTGTTTTCCAAAGATGGCTCCTGTCTGTATACACGAAGTGGACTGTCTTTATCTTTATCTTCTTATTAAACGGTCTGTACACTTAAAAAGTTCTCAATGCTTCGTTTTGCATGAATGGAACCTCATTATGTTACTGTGTTCGTGTGGGGCTATTTTGAGCCTTGTTAGTGGTATAAACTAGCGATTTCTTTTTACTTATTATATGCCCCCATTACTAGCGTTATACGCTAAACAGTTTTTAGAGACAAAACTCTTTACATTCGATTATCATGAAAACAAATCTCAGAGAACGGTTGACTAGGTACCAATGTTTTATTAGACCAAAGGTTCATTTTGCGCCGGAGTTCTCCTTTAACACACAATCATCTTCATTAAAAGTAAAGAAACGAAATGATCTTACCAGGACTGTTGCCGCTCTCTCTTATTGCCGTCTTTGATTTTAAAATTAGCTGATGATCAATAAAATGCAGCTCATATGTGTTGCTTTCGGTGACGTGCACTGACGTGAATCTGCATATAGCGCGGGAATTGAAGATCGGATTTATATCCGTTTTGCAAAAACACATTTATGTGACCAGGTGTAAATGGAATCGTTTTGATAAATCAGATAGCTATCCGATCTGAGAAAAAGCATAAAGTGGCCAGTAGACATGTGCCGGTATTCGGTAATGCGATAAATCGCGGTAATGAATATGCACGATATTGTTATCGCGGGGACTTCGAAATACCGTGAAAAATAATAGATCCGAATTTAGATTTTTAGAACGCGCATCAGCTTATTTTCCATCAACCGCTTAAAAAACAATGCGTATGCTGCGCAAAACACATGTGCACTTTGATGTAAACAATCCCCACATCACATGTATAAGCACTGTGTGCATGCAGTGCGCACTCTAGTCTAATGTAAACAATCCTCACGTGGAGAAGAAGCACGGCGGAAGGAGGAACGCTGCCGACTATTTATCCCCCGCATGGCTGCCAACTCTCACGCATTCAGCTTGAGACTCACGCAATTGACACTTTCACACGGTCTCGCGCCACACATCCATTTTCTCACGCAGAGAAAAATCGCGGAGCAAAGAGGACACTGACACCGACAGACTAGACAGAGCAGGTTACTTTTGATATGAAAAACATCAGCTCTCAGGTTCTGTCCATTTTATAACGAAATTCAGACAATAAATACTGTTTTGCTGCTTGTAAATGTGACGTGACAGATCGCGCGCCTCAGTTCAAGTAAACCGATCATCTGTTACTTTTTATTAAAGATACAGTACAACCCACCGAAAGGTACGTACTTTCGATCAATCAGTGTTTTTCAACCACGGAAAGAGGTCAATAAAACTGCAGGAGAACAATTATGTCACAGAACGTTACTTTTACCTCAGGAAAGCCGTTTAATGTTAGTTGACTATAAGAAAATAGCTATAGAGAGGAGTATTTTGCTAAATATGTGCACTATATTACATATTTTAATACATGTTTACTTGTCATTATATAATTGTTATTATAATGAAAATTACGGCATATTGCATTTTTATATTTATATTAATATTATATTTATATTGTATGCATTATATTTAATTTCTCTCTGTATGTTTACAGCATTATGTGAGATATTTTTTCTTGAGAAAAAATTTAAATGCAGGCTATCTACTGTAGCCTACCTAATATTTATCCAAATGAGTCAATATTGAATCAAGATTGAAATTAAAT